CAAGACAGATTAACTATAGTAATAATATGAAAGAATCAGATGGTCCTTAACATGGCAAGACAGATTAACTATAGTAATAATATGAAAGAATCAGATGGTCCTTAACATGGCAAGACAGATTAACTATAGTAATAATATGAAAGAATCAGGAGGTCCTTAACATGGCAAGACAGATTAACTATAGTAATAATATGAAAGAATCAGGAGGTGCTTAACATGGCAAGACAGATTAACTATAGTAATAATATGAAAGAATCAGGAGGTCCTTAACATGGCAAGACAGATCAACTATAGTAATAATATGAAAGAATCAGATGGTCCTTAACATGGCAAGACAGATTAACTATAGTAATAATATGAAAGAATCAGGAGGTGCTTAACATGGCAAGACAGATTAACTATAGTAATAATATGAAAGAATCAGGAGGTGCTTAACATGGCAAGACAGATTAACTATAGTAATAATATGAAAGAATCAGGAGGTGCTTAACATGGCAAGACAGATTAACTATAGTAATAATATGAAAGAATCAGGAGGTGCTTAACATGGCAAGACAGATTAACTATAGTAATAATATGAAAGAATCAGGAGGTGCTTAACATGGCAAGACAGATTAACTATAGTAATAATATGAAAGAATCAGGAGGTCCTTAACATGGCAAGACAGATCAACTATAGTAATAATATGAAAGAATCAGGAGGTCCTTAACATGGCAAGACAGATTAACTATAGTAATAATATGAAAGAATCAGATGGTCCTTAACATGGCAAGACAGATTAACTATAGTAATAATATGAAAGAATCAGATGGTCCTTAACATGGCAAGACAGATTAACTATAGTAATAATATGAAAGAATCAGGAGGTGCTTAACATGGCAAGACAGATTAACTATAGTAATAATATGAAAGAATCAGGAGGTCCCTAACATGGCAAGACAGATCAACTATAGTAATAATATGAAAGAATCAGATGGTCCTTAACATGGCAAGACAGATTAACTATAGTAATAATATGAAAGAATCAGATGGTCCTTAACATGGCAAGACAGATTAACTATAGTAATAATATGAAAGAATCAGGAGGTGCTTAACATGGCAAGACAGATTAACTATAGTAATAATATGAAAGAATCAGATGGTCCTTAACATGGCAAGACAGATTAACTATAGTAATAATATGAAAGAATCAGGAGGTCCTTAACATGGCAAGACAGATTAACTATAGTAATAATATGAAAGAATCAGATGGTCCTTAACATGGCAAGACAGATTAACTATAGTAATAATATGAAAGAATCAGGAGGTGCTTAACATGGCAAGACAGATTAACTATAGTAATAATATGAAAGAATCAGGAGGTCCCTAACATGGCAAGACAGATCAACTATAGTAATAATATGAAAGAATCAGATGGTCCTTAACATGGCAAGACAGATTAACTATAGTAATAATATGAAAGAATCAGATGGTCCTTAACATGGCAAGACAGATTAACTATAGTAATAATATGAAAGAATCAGGAGGTGCTTAACATGGCAAGACAGATTAACTATAGTAATAATATGAAAGAATCAGATGGTCCTTAACATGGCAAGACAGATTAACTATAGTAATAATATGAAAGAATCAGGAGGTCCTTAACATGGCAAGACAGATTAACTATAGTAATAATATGAAAGAATCAGATGGTCCTTAACATGGCAAGACAGATTAACTATAGTAATAATATGAAAGAATCAGGAGGTCCTTAACATGGCAAGACAGATTAACTATAGTAATAATATGAAAGAATCAGATGGTCCTTAACATGGCAAGACAGATTAACTATAGTAATAATATGAAAGAATCAGGAGGTGCTTAACATGGCAAGACAGATTAACTATAGTAATAATATGACAGAATCAGGAGGTCCTTAACATGGCAAGACAGATTAACTATAGTAATAATATGAAAGAATCAGGAGGTCCTTAACATGGCAAGACAGATCAACTATAGTAATAATATGAAAGAATCAGATGGTCCTTAACATGGCGAGACAGATTAACTATAGTAATAATATGAAAGAATCAGATGGTCCTTAACATGGCAAGACAGATTAACTATAGTAATAATATGAAAGAATCAGGAGGTGCTTAACATGGCAAGACAGATTAACTATAGTAATAATATGAAAGAATCAGGAGGTCCTTAACATGGCAAGACAGATTAACTATAGTAATAATATGAAAGAATCAGATGGTCCTTAACATGGCAAGACAGATTAACTATAGTAATAATATGAAAGAATCAGGAGGTCCTTAACATGGCAAGACAGATTAACTATAGTAATAATATGAAAGAATCAGATGGTCCTTAACATGGCAAGACAGATTAACTATAGTAATAATATGAAAGAATCAGGAGGTGCTTAACATGGCAAGACAGATTAACTATAGTAGTAATATGAAAGAATCAGGAGGTGCTTAACATGGCAAGACAGATTAACTATAGTAATAATATGAAAGAATCAGGAGGTGCTTAACATGGCAAGACAGATCAACTATGGTAATAATATGAAAGAATCAGATGGTCCTTAACATGGCAAGACAGATTAACTATAGTAATAATATGAAAGAATCAGGAGGTGCTTAACATGGCAATACAGATTAACTATAGTAATAATATGAAAGAATCAGGAGGTCCTTAACATGGCAAGACAGATCAACTATAGTAATAATATGAAAGAATCAGGAGGTGCTTAACATGGCAATACAGATTAACTATAGTAATAATATGAAAGAATCAGGAGGTGCTTAACATGGCAATACAGATTAACTATAGTAATAATATGAAAGAATCAGGAGGTGCTTAACATGGCAAGACAGATTAACTATAGTAATAATATGAAAGAATCAGATGGTCCTTAACATGGCAATACAGATTAACTATAGTAATAATATGAAAGAATCAGGAGGTGCTTAACATGGCAAGACAGATTAACTATAGTAATAATATGAAAGAATCAGGAGGTGCTTAACATGGCAAGACAGATTAACTATAGTAATAATATGAAAGAATCAGATGGTCCTTAACATGGCAAGACAGATTAACTATAGTAATAATATGAAAGAATCAGGAGGTCCTTAACATGGCAAGACAGATTAACTATAGTAATAATATGAAAGAATCAGATGGTCCTTAACATGGCAAGACAGATTAACTATAGTAATAATATGAAAGAATCAGGAGGTGCTTAACATGGCAAGACAGATTAACTATAGTAATAATATGAAAGAATCAGATGGTCCTTAACATGGCAAGACAGATTAACTATAGTAATAATATGAAAGAATCAGGAGGTGCTTAACATGGCAAGACAGATCAACTATAGTAATAATATGAAAGAATCAGATGGTCCTTAACATGGCAAGACAGATTAACTATAGTAATAATATGAAAGAATCAGGAGGTGCTTACCATGGCAAGACAGATTAACTATAGTAATAATATGAAAGAATCAGGAGGTCCTTAACATGGCAAGACAGATCAACTATAGTAATAATATGAAAGAATCAGGAGGTGCTTAACATGGCAAGACAGATTAACTATAGTAATAATATGAAAGAATCAGGAGGTGCTTAACATGGCAAGACAGATTAACTATAGTAATAATATGAAAGAATCAGGAGGTGCTTAACATGGCAAGACAGATTAACTATAGTAATAATATGAAAGAATCAGATGGTCCTTAACATGGCAAGACAGATTAACTATAGTAATAATATGAAAGAATCAGGAGGTGCTTAACATGGCAAGACAGATTAACTATAGTAATAATATGAAAGAATCAGGAGGTCCTTAACATGGCAAGACAGATTAACTATAGTAATAATATGAAAGAATCAGGAGGTCCTTAACATGGCAAGACAGATCAACTATAGTAATAATATGAAAGAATCAGGAGGTGCTTAACATGGCAAGACAGATTAACTATAGTAATAATATGAAAGAATCAGGAGGTGCTTAACATGGCAATACAGATTAACTATAGTAATAATATGAAAGAATCAGGAGGTGCTTAACATGGCAAGACAGATTAACTATAGTAATAATATGAAAGAATCAGATGGTCCTTAACATGGCAAGACAGATTAACTATAGTAATAATATGAAAGAATCAGGAGGTCCTTAACATGGCAAGACAGATTAACTATAGTAATAATATGAAAGAATCAGATGGTCCTTAACATGGCAAGACAGATTAACTATAGTAATAATATGAAAGAATCAGATGGTCCTTAACATGGCAAGACAGATTAACTATAGTAATAATATGAAAGAATCAGGAGGTGCTTAACATGGCAAGACAGATTAACTATAGTAATAATATGAAAGAATCAGATGGTCCTTAACATGGCAAGACAGATTAACTATAGTAATAATATGAAAGAATCAGATGGTCCTTAACATGGCAAGACAGATTAACTATAGTAATAATATGAAAGAATCAGGAGGTCCTTAACATGGCAAGACAGATTAACTATAGTAATAATATGAAAGAATCAGGAGGTGCTTAACATGGCAAGACAGATTAACTATAGTAATAATATGAAAGAATCAGATGGTCCTTAACATGGCAAGACAGATTAACTATAGTAATAATATGAAAGAATCAGATGGTCCTTAACATGGCAAGACAGATTAACTATAGTAATAATATGAAAGAATCAGGAGGTGCTTAACATGGCAAGACAGATTAACTATAGTAATAATATGAAAGAATCAGGAGGTGCTTAACATGGCAAGACAGATTAACTATAGTAATAATATGAAAGAATCAGGAGGTGCTTAACATGGCAAGACAGATCAACTATAGTAATATGAAAGAATCGAGTGGACCTTAAGGAAGAGACCTTAACTTCTTTTGAGAAGCATATATCGTCTTCAGCAATAATGCCAAGGAATGTTGTCAGCGTATGAAACTTTCAATATGCAACATGATTCTTTTCTTTTTCAGTGAATCCCTTCAACCTATTATACCACTGATCAGAACAGGTAAAGTTTCAGCCACCTTAAGTACCGGTAGTTTGTGTCCTTTGAAACATCTTTAATGGGAATTGGCACTCTTCAGGAATTTCAAGATTTGGATGAATAGTCTCACCCAAATGTACATCATTTGTAATGTGTGGAGTTTTACAGCTTGGTCAGCATTACTACCTTTCTTGTGTCCTGAGTTAGTTTTATGTTTACAAGAAAAAGGCAATACAATGAGCCAAATATTTGGCAGCAGCAGTAAGTCAGAGGTCCTAGACGTAATGGTAGTGCACTCGCAAATGTTCAGAACATTGTCGCTGTTTAATGTCTTGAAGGAGGCCTGTCTCCGTTCTTGAATCCAGAAGTGTTGGAAGCTGGCCGGAATTCGGTGTTTCCAGATAGGTATCCAAACCACACTCTTGGTTGTCCTCCCAGTTGAAGATGACCTGACTATAAAGCTTTCATACTAATTCAAGTTACATTAATCACCACAAACAGCTGCAAGTATGAAGCATTAAACCTCTCTCTCTCTCTCTCTCTCTCTCTCTCTCTCTCTCTCTCTCTCTCTCTCTCTCTCTCTCTCTCTCTCTCTCTCTCTCTCTCTCTCTCTCTCTCTCTCTCTCTCTCTCTCTCTCTCTCACTCACTGACTCACTCATGTTTGAAAAGGTGTGGCTATGTTACAGCCTACAACAAACTGCTGATTCTTGGGAAACAGCCATCAGGGGAGGGAACTCAGGAGGAGGCCACGTGGTTCATGAAAATAGGTAACTGTATGACATTTCCATCAATCCACTTTACCTGCTTTTCTTGTCCAGACAAATGGAATAATGTGAATTAGTATTTATATGAATGGTCAAAGATGTTTGTGAATATTAGTTTTCCAATTAAAAAGAAAACAATATCTTGAATAGCGTTCAGGATTTAAGGATGTATTGTGACTGTCATATATTGTGATAAACAAACATATTCTGTGTTTTTCAGCATGGAATCTTGCCTTAAAGTGTGAGGATGACCCATTCAACTTGAAAGACCTCTTCAGTCTCTGTTTAAAGGTACATGGCTAATCTTATGAATACTTTTGTTATGTCTGTGATTCAGATTGTAAGTGAGTGAGTGAGTGAATAATAACACATAATAGTTATGCAGTGTATATAGTATGAGGCCAAGGCAATTTTCCTCGTTTACATGTACGCCAACTTAAAATTTTACAAAAGTGGAATTCGATTATATTTTCATATGAGAAGAGTCTCTTTTTCTTACCTCTGTCTGCAAATTAATTTCCGTTAAAAACAATCATTCAAAGAAGGTCAATAGGGGAAAGGCATTATTGCCCTTTGACTTTCGGTTCCCCCAAAATGGGGAGTTTTATATGTTTTCAAAAAATAAATGTTTTATGTGCCCCTGGTTTGGGGGAAATTATTTTACTGTTTAATATATGCTGCCTAACTTCAAGAGTTAAATTGAACGTTTTGCATAACAAGGAAGAATAGAATAAACTATAAGAAAAGAGAGCCTCAGCTGGTAGTTCTGTGTGAGTTTCTGCTTCCAGCTGTTGTCCCTGCTGCCTGCTGACAGAGCACTTGTGTGTCGCCAGAAGACATGCACTCTCATGGCTGTTGCCGGCTGTCTTCAGATGGCCAGGGCTCTCTCAGATGACGATAATAAGGTAAGATGGAAGTCAAGTCTGTCATCATCTGTCCATGTGCTAATTCTTAACAGTTATGAGGTAACATATGAAAATATGAGTTGAATAGTCAATTTACATAACAGTTAATGGTTTTATCACATACACAGGGCTTCCAGATACTATTTTAGGCCATTGAGTATTTACTCAGGCGTTAGGATTCATATTGGGGATTTGATTGTTTTCTTTGTATTCTCAGTATACTGATTTAACTTGCTTAGATCCAGTCTATTGGGTATTTTTAAACCAATTGGTAGACATTTTTATAAATAATTCTGCTTAGAATGCTGTTTCAGGTCATTCAAATTTTGTTGTGTTCATGTGACGCCCCATTGTGGCATAAGTTCACCACAGCGATACACGTCTCAGCTGCAATAACCCAGACAAAAGACTTTTGTGCAATATTCACTGCAGTAGAGTTCATATATAGGTGATGCCCACATTTAATAGTAAAAATAGATGTGATGAGAGATATTCAGCAACACAAGGTGTTGTTATACTTTTGGGTTTTGTAAATGTTTCATGCAATTTGTTTGCAAGCAACTCAAAATTAATTGAGTTAACTTATGGTAATATATTTTGTGTATTTTACACAAATATTATCTACTCTAAATCTCTGCATACCGTATAGGAAAAATATATAACTATATTAATTGGAGAGAATCACTCACTCATTCACTTGCTCACACACTCACTCACTCATTCACTCACTCACTCATTCACTCACTCACTCACTCACTCATTCACTCACTCACTCTATATAATGATTGTTTATTGATCAGAGAGATCCACTGGAGGAAGCACTATGCTACATTGGAGAATTCCAGTGCCTCCAGAGAGAGCAGGACAGTGTGACTTGGACACAGATAGGTATCTTGAGCAATTATCATTCAGCGATACATCAGTTAAGTTATATGAGTCTATCACACCATAACTAAGTCGGATCTCTTTTGGCTCCATGGCTCCATCAACGATTGCTGTTATACCTAAAACCACAGATGCAATATAAAAGTGTCGAAAACCCATACACAGATCCAGTGAGGTTAAGTTTTTTCAAATATCTATAAAACATTTGGGGATGGTTGAAAATCCCTTTTCTGACTGAACAGGGCTGTGATCAAGATTATATAAGAGATAACAAAGCTTCTACATATATCTGAGACCTGTGAAGATCCGGGGTAGAATAGGTCTTCAGCAACACATGTTTGCCATTAAAGGCGACTATGCTTGTCATAAGAGGCGACTAACGGGATTGTGTGGTCAGACTCGCTGTCTTGGTTGATGCATGTCATCGTATCCCAATTGTGTGGATCGATGCTCATGATGTCAATCACTGGATTGTCTGGTCCAGACTTGATTTTACAGACTGCTGTCATATAGATGGAATAATGCAGAGTGCGGTGTTAAACAACAAACAAACAAACCACATATCTGAATGCTTGTGATGACCTTTTCAAGCATAAAATTATGTCCTTTATTTTGACTGTGACAGAGGATACAAGAGGTCCTGATACAACCGACATGCTGTTGTTGCTGTACGAATTTGAAGCCCGTGTGAAGCTGCAAGACAATGGGGCCGAGGCAGTGCTGGAGAAAGCTCTTACTCTACCTCAGCCAGAACCCAAGACTTTTGAGGCTCTTGCAGGTTTAAGTCAAATAAATATTTTACATACATTTGAAAATGATAAATGAGTGTTCGTTTTTCAGTTTTTAGATATTAAAGGCTGCAAAAAGATGCAAGATGCGTGGTGGCACATGGTCCTTTGTACACAATTTCAGGTGAAGTTAAGCAGCGTTGGTCAAAGAGAGTAGGTGGATGGGTGATCTTGTTAGACAGCTCTGAAGAATTTCTAGGGCTTCGGTCCTGCTTCACACTGAAGCACCTGCACCACATGTTGTGGCTCACATACAAGTGACTTTGTTTGAAATATGTCTTTGTAACAGTGAACGGGTACACAGTGGGATGAGATGGTAATGTGACTGTTATGACCTTCTAGTGCCTCACAGGCAGCTTGGGTAGTGTACTTCCCAGGGAGCTGAGAATGAAAATTGAGTGCACACTGATCCATTGACCGGGGTGATAATAAAGTAGCACCTTGCTCATTCACTTGGTGAATGGGATCAGACTCATTATGAATAGACTTTTTTCCTTCTTTCTTTAAATAATAATTGTTGTTATTGTTATTGTTCATATAATTACTATTCTTCTTCTTATTATTGTTAACAGTATTATTATCAAACAAAAAAATGCTCACGAATAAATTGGTGTGATGTTTATATTTTGTTATACTTTTGCATATTGAATTCTTCAACAGTCAAATAGTTGTAGATTATTATAGCTTAGAACTATTGTTGTAAGCCCATTTGTATGGTCACTAGTTGTCTCCACCCAAAACAGTGGTTATTGTGTGTTCAGGGGGTGGTTATTGTGTGTTCAGGTGGTGGTTATTGTGTGTTCCTGGGGTGGTGGGGTAAGCTAGCGGTTTTAGTGTTCACTCACCTGCCAGATACCAGGTTCAAATCCCTGCAAGTGTACAGTGTGTGACCTCACACTATGACGCCCATTGCCCTCCATGACATTGCTGAAATATTGCTAGAAGCTTCGTAAAACTAACTCACTCACTCACTCCCTGTGTTCCAGCCCTTGCTGTGGAGCCACCGGCCAGTGACAGGAGTCTGAGTATCCGGGCACTCAAAGTGGCCATCAGGACACACCTGCAGGTGGACCAGCCCGACTTCAACAGATGCAGGTGGGTGTTGCTTGTCAGTAGAAAGTTTTTATTGAATTCCATGAGTGAATACTATGAAATTCAATGTGCAAACATGTACGAGTTGAGTTTAACACCAGTGAAACTCTTTCATTATTGAAAAATCATTAAAGTGACTTTGACATTTGACCTAACCATAATATAGGACCAGAATCATGATGACAGCTGTTGAATTAGTTATTTAAGTTTCATTTTCACTAATTGAAAAATATTTAATTTCTTGGGAATTACTGGTCACAGTGGTGTACCTCAATTTCCTCAGGTTTGAGCGATGTTTCATGATTGACATTCACTTATCTTAACCTAATGTGGAGGTCATTCTAACTCTGATGTGTCTGGAACCCTACCCGAGATATCAAGTTCATTAGATTTCGTCACATTGTGTACACTAAAGGTTTTCACTCCCAATTTACATAAAGTGACCTTGGCCTTTAATCTTGGCCAGTTACATTACTAGTTCAAACTTGGTTGGTGATAAAAAATATGAAGTCTCTATAGCAGACTGACACTACTTTACAAGATATTTTAGGAGTGAGTGACCTCCAGTGAACTTGACATGTGACACAACCATGGTAGGTGACAGGTGCTGACTTAGTCACAGGTTAAATCATAATCAGCCTTAAATTTCTTCAAGTTTGAGTGATGCTTCATAATGTGACCTCCAGTGACCTTGGTCGCATATGGAAGTCATCCAATCATAAATTCTGAGGATAACTGAACACAAAACCATTTAACCCCAAGTTCACACTGAATGGTTCGCCCTGATTATGTTTCCAGGTTTGTCAGCACCATACCAGTCCATGTGGGTTTCACCGAAGTGGTAAACGTCTGAGCCCTGCATCACTTCGGGCTTTCCTCCCACATTAAGCTGACAAGCCGCGATATAACTGGAATAATGTTAAAAGCGGCGTTAAACCTAACTCACTCACTCACACTGAATGACCTTTTTCTTTAATATCAGAAAAAAACTAGGGTTATACAGCCAGTAAAGATTGTGGTATGAGGTCCATAACATTTGTGACAAGGATGTGGTTAACAATTGTGACAGTTGACTGTTGGCCAGGGGGCTACTTAATTAACTGCAGAAAAGCAGTATATATACTACTCAAAAGAAGTTAAGGATCACCTGATTCTTTCACATTACAATAGTTAATCTCTCATGCCATGACAGATTAACATTACCAATATGAAAGAATCGGGTGATCCTTAACTTCTTTTGAGTAGTATATTTTGAGCTGTGTACAGATGAAATATATCATGACCATCTAAATAATGTTTGTTTACGGTTCGCAAACCCTTTTTGTCTCCTACATGTTTCTTCAGCAAGGACATCCACAGCCTGATCCAGCTATCAATGAGCATAGGCCAGTCCAGCAGTACACAGGAGACATTCAACTACTTCAAAGAGACTATAGACGTCATCGACAAGAAGGCAAACGTGAGTTTTCAAGTTCCTTCCTGAACTTCACAAAATGTACACAATTGCAGCTCCATCCTCATTGATCCAGAGTTATATCTGTTTAATACTCTCGACCCATATGCCACCATCACTTCGTTTTGAGTTTTGAACCCGGGTCTTTGGCGAACGCTTTAACCACTAGGCTACCCCATCGCCTTGGGCGTGGACAGATGTTTTCCAACTCTTTTCATGTTTTTAATCAAGGTGGTCAAGTGATTTGATGTACTTTGAGGTAAAACCATTTTGTTTAAAGCAAAGGCAAGTGATATAAGAGGTGAAATCTGATTGGTCAATAGGCGAGACATAGAAGGGACATAACTTCGCCACTGTTGGCGCTACGACTGTGCCACAAAATTCAAGCCGAGTTCTACAAGGGTGGAAACTGGACTTTTACAGACAGCTAACTCCCTCGCCTTGGGAAGATGTTTAAGTATAGAATGTTTATGTATTTTCAGGGACATTATCCTGAACTGGAAATTGTTTGGTTGATGACAAAGGCATGGAACTGCGGCATACATTTCTACAGGTAAAGATTTGACATGCGTGGCAAACACCCAGTCTCTGCTGTGACCTTTGCTAGTTAATGTGGATTTGTTAAGAAATATGTTTATACAGTTAAGACCAAATCAAATTAAGATATGCAAAGAGGCAGAAGGCAAAAGAAAATAACATTTCTTATGTTGTCTGGTCCAAAAATAAAAACAAACTGTAATATAAAACTTTGAATGCTTATTTTACCAAAAAAGGAATATATTTTCAAACAACATTTACATTTTTCATTGTGTGAAATCTCTTTTTACTTTTACATAATTTTGGCTATGCATATTTTTAAAACAATAAAATGAAAACCATTAATCTTTCTTTGTAAAGTAATAATCTACTCAATGATCAATGTCAAGGCATCACTAAATTTCCACACATTGTGTCCCAAGCTCCACGGACTACGATGAGGCAGAAAGGTGGTGCAGTATGAGCATGGGACTCCTCAAGTACCTGACAACCATGAGGCCCAACTACGAGGATCAGGTAATAAGAAAACAGTAGCCTTCTCAGGGACACCGAGTGGCACCCCTAGGTCCTTGTTGGATCCAGCTATGAGGACCAGGTAATCAGTTTTTGTTTGTTTGTTTAACGCCACACTCAGCAATATTCTAGCTATATGACAGTGGTCTGTAAAATATTCGAGTCTGGACCAGACAATCCAGTGATTGACATCATGAGCATTGTTCCACGCAATTGGGATCGATGACATGCATTAACCAAGTCAGCGAGCCTGACCACCTGATCCTGTTAGTCGCCTTTTACGACAAGGACCAGGTAATCAGTAAACAGTAGCCCTCTCTATGGGGACACCCAGGACAGAGCGGCTCCCCTAGCTCCTTGTTGAATCCATGGATCGTGGCTCATACCACTGACCCAGACTTCAGGGCATTGTGTAGTTGGATCACATTTCCATGGCATGGATTGTGGCTCAGGCCACTGACCCAGTGAGTGAGTGAGTGAGTGAGTGAGTATGGTTTTACGCCGCTTTTAGCAATATTTCAGCAATATCACGGCGGGGGACACCAGAAATGGGCTTCACACATTGTACCCATGTCGGGAATCGCCCCCACTGACCCAGACTTCAGGGCACTGTGTAGTTGGAATTCTGCTGCATAAATCACCATTCAGCCCCTTCTCTACTTGCATCACTGAATGTTCCATGCAAGCTAAAGTGCCGGGCAAAAGTATTCACCATGTTTGATGGTGGCTATATATGAAACAAACAAGAAATGGTTATTCGATGGTGATGTATTTGATACGGGCATCATAGTTGTGTTAAGGCAAATTTTCAAATGTCTGCTTTCTTTTGCCAGGCAGTTTATTTCAATAACTCTGTTGTAGATGAACTCTGTGTATGGCGAGATACTGGAGAGGATAGAGCAAGCAAGGGGTCAGCTGACCATGGAGGAGTAGGACAAGGGGATGATTCCTATCTGATTCATTAAACAGGCCTGAACATCACCATTTGGTGCTCAGCAACCACTTTTAATAAATGAGTCTTGCTAAGGGTAATATATTCTTGTTTTTATTCTTAAAAACAGAATTCAATGTTTTTTGCCGAAGAGGCTAAAAATCACCATTGCTGGATGTCTGATTACAGTTTTCCGACTGGCGGGAGCTTTTTCTTTCCCTGGCACTGGACCGTGGTTTGCTGAAATTTGTATTTAATAAAATTATACATATAGTTCCAAATAAATTGAAGAATAAACTACAACCTACCTATCATTTCTCAGTGCAATAATTGTGAAAGGGATAAATGTGTATAGTGTATATTATTAGATTAAGTTTTCATAGAATGTGTAGTAAACAGATGTCTAAAATGGGCTTGGATTTTCAAGTTGTCAAGTTTGTGTTTTCAATGTAATAACAGTTAGGCAAGACGAGAAGGGAAAGTAACCGCTGGTCTGAGAACTAAGAATGATATTGTTTGGCCTTATTTAGGAAGCTTAAGACAATTTCTATTTTCACTCATCGTCTTCCTTCATTGTTTATTCTATGATTATCTGCCAACACCCGGAGGGGTTCATCACCAAGGGTAGATCCAATCTGGGATGTCAGAAAGTACTTTTGATAGGTTGATAGGACCACCTATAAGAAGAATATCGTATCATACTGGAGAGTGTTGTGTCCATGTCAGAGATTATACATATTGAACTACAGTGCATCAAAACTGATTCTGTTAATGTGTTTCTCTTTAAACATTTCTGTTGCTTTCACCCACATTGGACCTATTGTTAGTATTACGGGTGAAACGATACGGCAAGTTCATGATATGATACATATCACCATATGCATATTTACGTCAGGACATGTGGAAACTTCTTGATTATTAATATTTCTGAGCAGGTTCCAAAGAAAAAGCTACTGTGGACACATGTTCCTAGCAGCTATTTTTAATAATGAACTTGAAAAACTAATTTTGTGATATCTAACTGACCAAAATGCTGGGGTGGGGGTCTTTAAAGGAGAGAGTAAGTAATTTATTTTAGCAAGTGTATCGTCTTGTATCAATACAGAAAAAAAAAAGGATTGTGTATCCTCACATGAAGACTCACGATGCACTGATGTATCCTTTCACTTGTAGTTAGTTAAGTGTAGGGGTGTCACGATTAATCAAACTATCAATGCATCGCATTTGTCCATGGCTTGATGTCTAATCATCCAAGGAAGTCTACATTGTACTCATCATGCTACTGCAATACTAGTACATTGTACCACCATCAGAACATCCTCACAAAAGTGTTATTAACTTTTTCAATACTACTGCTGCAGTAAAACTGGCTCCAAAAGCATCCCCAATACAGCTGACAACAAGCAATACCAAGACCTGAATCGTTGCAGGGGTGGTGGCGATGTTTCAGGCTCAAGAGAGCCGTCCTTGGAATGACAACAATGGAACATGGCTTAAAGACAATCTCTTCTGTTTATACATTTATATACATTAAAAGTATATAACAATTATGTAAAAAAAAGTGAAATATCAACACGTAAACTCTGAGCTAATATGAATTGACATAAATATCATGTATCACAGATCAACAAATTGGTTCATAATCTTAACTGGCCCAATAAAACTTCACAGCTGGTGCATACAATTCTACCAAAACATTTCTAATACAGGTATTTTCATGTTCACAGACTATTCCAACACTATTGGGAACAAACATGTAACCTTATTTTGTTTTATAATGCTTATTCGAATGACTTTGTTATAGTGTAAATTGGCTTGCGATTTCTAAAGTCTATAGATAAGAACATAATCACCAAACAGATGTGAACGACGTAATATGCACTTGTCATAACTGACTCAAAATGCCTACCATCTTCAAACAGACTTGCACCTAGAAGAACAGAAATGCTGGCAGGACTAGCAATCCTTTGATTAGATCAGACATCCTGCACACACTAGATGACTTGAGTGACTGATTGTTCAAACAGTGTTGATCCAGTACTAAAACGCCTGCAAGGGTATCTTGGTGGAGACTCCATGAATTGTTTGACACATTTCTCCCTGTCATTAGCCCCTGCCTCATGAGGATGAGGTGAGGAACACTTTCCTGCCCGCATGCATGTAGTTTGGCCAGAAGGAACTCAGAGCCTTCGCCTCCTGCAACAAGATGGTGAAGGATGAGCATGATGACAGCATCTAAAATTGGGTATTTATTAACATAATAAATAATAGTCAGGAATTTATGTAGACCTGGGTGCCTTTGTACAAAACAGCCTTAGGTATGGGAGTTATGATCACCTTAGAGCTAAGATCCCTTTGTACAGCAGCACCCTGCTCAGAAGCCAATATTCAGCATAAGTCTGCAGCAAATGACTGAAAAATTCCCAATTTAAAAAAAATATATTCCCAATTCCGCAAAATTTAGAACTTTAAAGAAATCCACATTTGAACAATACTATGGTCTGTTCCCAGTTTGGCTGCCAAGGGCAACTTGTTTGGAATCCTAGATATGTATAGTGTTCTAACGTAAGTCAGCCGGCTTGTTTCTGTACTCACAACAACCCTGCCTTTATCACGGACTTCTTCCATCGTGAGTGGGAGAGGTTTGGACGGTTCGTACAAAACCAGTTGCTGTTCCACTTTCTTCTCTCTGTAAAGTAAGTGAGTTATACTCATTAAAGGAATGGTGTTCCTTCCTTCCTAGATGGCGATTCAAACTCAACAAGGTTTTTACATAGATACACTCGACATACTACACACAGTTACTGCATATTCAATTAAAAAAAGTGTGAGTAACAATATTTTAGCCATAATGAGGCAGCTTGAAAATATCAGGATTGAGTCTTTATCAGGGAAACCAGTAACTGATGCATTCAGGGTAGCATGAAGCCCAGGCGGCCAGGAGCCTGATCCCCAGGTAGCCGGCTGTTGTGACAAGCATGACTCGCGATGTCTTCTCATCATATGTCATCACAGGGGGTTTGGGCACAGGGCAGAGTTGCATGCCAGAAAGCTATGAAGCTATGATTGTGGGTTCAAATCCTGGTTTGCATCTTTATTATGCCTCTTGGTTTGTCAGCACCATATCCCTGCTTATGGATTTTACCAAAGTGGTAAATGCCTAAGATCTGCATCACTTTCCTCCCTTGTCAAGGTGACATGCCGTGATATAACTGATCAAAGCGGTGTTAAACCATCTCTCATTCTCTCATCATAGTGAGTGAGTTTGGTTTTACGCCGCTTTTAGCAATATCATGGCGCAGGACACCAGAAATGGGCTTCACACATTGTACCCATGTCAGGATTCGAACCCGGGTCTTCAGGGTGACGAGCGAACGCTTTAACCACTAGGCTACCCGACCGCCCCTCTCATCATAGGGACATAACAAGATTAAGGCAGGTGTAAACACAAATATAACACTGTATAATGATACTATTTCTGAGAACACAACTTTGAGCTTGTCTTTCCAGATGTGGCTCCACACTAACATATTCACACGCAATAGTCATTGTGGCTGCCTAATCACCATTTCAGTGATTGCAATAAATATACCAGTGAAATAGCTGGAAAAATTGTGGAGGTTCAACAATCTGAAACTCACTGTCTGGATTTTGTTGACCCTGAACTCCCTCTGCTGTCTGTGCTGAGCTCGTGTTCTGGCATGGCCATCCTGGCCACCATGGTCGGGGTCATCTCACTCGCCAACTCCCTCTCAGCCTCACTACCAGATATAGGTGGGAGGCGCCTGCTGGCTTGGGGGAGGGGTGGGGCATATTCATGAGTCTCCAAGTAATAATCGGATATCTGAGCCAAAAAAGAACGTTATGCCATGACATGAAGGAGACAATGTTTTTTCGCTCAAGATGGAAACGAATACACAGAATTCCTTATTAGTTCCAAATGTCATCTTTGATACATGTTCTCTGGTTTGTCAAATATTTTGAAAATCAAATATGAGGTGATCCAAGATTATTCCACGTGTATAGCAACATGCATGGATGCATGTGTGTGTAACCTTGTACTAGTCCTTGTATCCCCTACGTGCTGAATGTTATGCAGGATTACAACAAGTTTTATCATCATTTGTTATGATTCGGCCAGCCCTCAACCTTCCACTTTCTAGGCAAGTGCTCTATTCACTACACCATGGAGATGGCCAAACAAAATATGAAGATAGTATTATAAAGCATTGTATACTAGGTTTCAGCAGATGACATCCATCATAAAGTCTGTACACTGAAATTTAGTTTCCTGTATTGGTGTCAATGTTTGTCCATTTCCAAATACAAATCACTTTTAACTCACTAGATCTGTCAAATCTGGTCCATCCATCAAGAAAGCAAGGTCTGTGTGCCTGTCTAAGATCCTAAAAACACAAAACCAAAAGAATAATCAGTATGGATTACCATTAAATAATACAACTTAACAAGATCTACATTGAAAAAAACAGAGCATGTGTAAGAAATGAGTTCTTTTCAACAGCTTTGAATACACAGATTTATCTTACTTATTGTCTACTAAAGGGGAGACAACCAAGAATAGTCTCAGGGATAATTGAAATGTACTGGTAATATTGCTTTTCGGTTTATTTTCCCATTTTGTAATTGTAATTTGAACATAGGTGAAAATCTACATGTAGAGCGTACTAGCTCTGACAACTTGAAAAAAATATAGTTATGGCCACATGGAGACAAGCTTCTCAAACAGGTTATGCCCATAAATTTGACTATATGAAGGCATTACCCGGAACTACGTTATACCTCTATCTCCAAGTGTTAGTAATATCTACAATGGTCTGCTACCTGTACACCTACCAAAGAAGCATACCCTATTGCATCAATACAACCTAGCATGCTAATACCAGAGGTTCTCACAGTTTACAAGACACTACAAGTCTACAAGTGAATATTGGTAAATGCAAATATACATGGTCAAAATTTTGATTCTCAGAGTGTATGTACTGGAAATTTCTTTTTGTTTTAAGCAGTTATCGTCACTCGGTTCCTGATGAACATTCAGTGTTCGGCCTGAATATAAGTATTGTGATTACATGATATAGTCACATTGGCATGGCCGCAAAGATCCTCCATATCTCCGGGGGTTGCAATTCGGTACACTTACACTAACCCTGGATCCGTTCCCGTTGTTCTGGCAATCTCAAATTACCTGCCCTTGATTTTCGTTAGTATTTAATCGACAAATCAAATGTCGAAATAAGGAAAAGGGTAAGACATCCTTTCCATCAACATGTTTTTAGGGCTTTCTTTTGCGTGTCAGTCAATTTTTCAATTTTGAGTTTTGCGCAGTCTCTGTCCATGATCGTAATCAATGGGACTGGCCACCTTGTTGCTACTGCCAACCCAACATGGAGGCTGGTGTGTTACCCGCATTCTGATTGGTCCGTTAGACTGAGGAGTGTATCAAAATCAAAATGGCTAATGAAAATCAAGGGCAAGTAATTTTAAGATTGCAAGAACCACAGGATTTGTTTTGTTTGTTTGTTCTTTAACGCCGCACTCAGCAATATTCCAGCTATATGACGGTGGTCTGTAAATAATCGAGTCTGGACCAGAAAATCCAGTGATTGATATCATGAGCATCGATCCACACAATGGGGATCAATGACATGCATCAACCAAGTCAGCGAGCCTGACCACCCGATCCCGTTAGTCGCCTCTTACGACAAGCATAGTCGCCTTCTACAGCAAGCATGGGTTGCTGAAGACCTATTCTACCCCGGATCTTCAAGGGGAGGCAAGCATGGGTTGCTGAAGACCGATTCTACCCCGGATCTTCACAGTCTGAGTCCAGAGGTAAGTGTAGGATTATTGATATGCAAGCCCTGGAGATACAGAGGATTGACCTCAAAGATCACTGATCAGCCAAGTGTCAAAAGAACTGTCAATTGACGTGTGATTTATTAGGAAATTCAGAATGGAAAAATCATACTTGTCATTTATTTCACTAGAAAGCTGGTAGTATTTTAAAAGTATTAAATTTGACCGTATGACAGATTGTTTTCAACAATCACAGTAAGTACTCCATGAAATGTGACCTATGTGTCACATAGCATTTGTTACAACCAATATCTAGGTGTGTCCTTTGTTAATGAACGAGCCTTTTATTCTAAACAAAATGCAATAACCTATTTTTTCTGGACTACGTAAGTTTGTCTGCTCTTTGTTAACGCCGACAACTGTTTGCTCTTTGTTAACGCCGCACTCAGGAATGTTCCAGCTATGTGACAGCGGTCTGTATGTAATCGAGTCTGGACCAGACAATCCAGTGACTGAGCATTGATCCACGCAATTGGGTTAGATGACATGCATCAACCAAGTCAGCGAGCCTGACCACCCGATCCTGTTAGTCACCTCTTACAACAAGCATAGTCTCCTTTTACGGCAAGCATGGGTTGCTGAAGACCTATTCTAACCCGGATATTCACAGGTCCTATGGCAAAGTCATAAAGAAGAATTTGAATCCAACAATACTAGCTAAACATGGATATATACATCTATCTACATCTATTAAAAAATGAAGCAGAGATCTGACGTTGCTAAGACTTCTGAATACTCATAAACCACTGGCGGATCCAGAGAGGGTGTGGTGTGACACCTTTACATGGTAACTGCACCCTTGGCCAAGACACTTTGTAACTTGGGTATTAGGTGCTACCCCCCTTTTTCAAAATCCTGGATCCACCTCTGTAAACTACCAGTTGTTACTTTTGTTAAAGACAAGATATCAACTAAGTTGATCTGAACTTCACCACTTGGATCCAAATACCTGAGATTCCTTAATGAACTGAAACATGGAATATACATGTAGTTTCTTCATGTCTCAGATTAATGAGTATTTTCAGGAATACTTGTCAGCTTGAGGTTTTAAATGGTCAAATGTACTTAACAAGAAGACAACCTGTTTTAACTATAGGAAGGAAAATAATTTGGTACTGAGTTAATAAGAAGAAAATGTAGCTCACCTGGATATGAAGTCAACAGTTAAAAATGTCAACAAAGACCGACACAACAAAAGCGGGTGTTGGTGATATTTCAATAACTTCTACATAATTACCGAGGACGAAAAGACAACAAAAGGTTTTTGATGGTGCATCTCGAGTCATGGATCTATGACGTCACATCTGATGCGTTCATGAGTGTCGGCTCACACAACATACAAGTAAGTACGTTTGTGTATCGAACCAATCTAATATCTCTTAAAAAGGAGTAATTCTTCATATATTAAACGACATGTATGGTATTCACGTTTCTTTTGGCATTGAGTATATATGACACAGATGTAGAGGTTGCGATTCTCCCTGTGTTCTACTGTACTGGTGAACACTCAGCATCTCATCTCATCCACAAACACACATTATATGACACAGATGTAGAGGTTGCGATTCCCCCTGTGTTCAACTGTACTGGCAAACACTCAGCATCTCATCTCATCCACAAACACACATTATATGACACAGATGTAGAGGTTGCGATTCTCCCTGTGTTCAACTGTACTGGCGAACACTCAGCATCTCATCTCATCCACAAACACACATTATATGACACAGATGTAGAGGTTGCGATTCCCCCTTTGTTCAACTGTACTGGCGAACACTCAGCATCTCATCTCATCCACAAACACACATTATATGACACAGATGTAGAGGTTGCGATTCCCCCTGTGTTCAACTGTACTGGCAAACACTCAGCATCTCATCTCATCCACAAACACACATTATATGACACAGATGTAGAGGTTGCGATTCTCCCTGTGTTCAACTGTACTGGTGAACACTCAGCATCTCATCTCATCCACAAACACACATTATATGACACAGATGTAGAGGTTGCGATTCCCCCTGTGTTCTACTGTACTGGCGAACACTCAGCATCTCATCTCATCCACAAACACACATTATATGACACAGATGTAGAGGTTGCGATTCCCCCTGTGTTCAACTGTACTGGCGAACACTCAGCATCTCATCTCATCCACAAACACACATTACCATATTTGACGTAAAAAGCGCCCAGGGCTCTCTCAAAATTAGAAATAGGGGGTCCTTGTTAGAATATTATGTTGGTGAAAAAATAAAGATAAATTTCGTGGTTTATAGTGACAGCCTGAAATGTTTATGTACGACAGATATATTTTCCAGAATTTAATTGCCCATAATTAAGGGTGCATATAACACACGAGTGTGTATTATACGTGAATAAATAAGTCTTGTGTACATTGATCAATCGGAAGGGGTGCTAATTGGGATTGTTCACTAGCCAATTTATCAGCAAATATCACCTTGGGCGCTTATTACGTCGAATACAGTATATGACACAGGTGTAGAGGTTGCGATTCCCCCTGTGTTTACCTGGTGGCTGCTGCACTGTTGGCCATGGCTAGCTGGTGCATCTTATGTAATTTCTTCAAGAACTTGCGCCTCTGCTTCTCCTTCAGCCTTAAGTCCATCTTCAACTGTATCTGTCATGACAAGGTGACTTGTGTGAATATCCTGGCATACTAGGGCTAGGACGAGTCCAAATTTACTACTCGGGTACCCTCCACCCTATTACCCGACCCTACCCAGGTACCTGTTTTAGATATTTAGAGATAAGTACAAACTGTCCGATTTGGAAAAGTTTGACCATAGCCCTGGCAAAATGTATTTAGATACATGTGTACAACGATCTGGTCATGCATACACTGAAGTTTACTGCATGGAGTTTTATCTTTATTCAAACATATAAAAGTCAGAAGGAATGGTGCATTGTCAGAAAGAAATGGGAACATTAGTGACTTGTAGAGTAATCATAGAGTTTTAGATAAATTTTGTCATTAAACAATATATCACGTGACTAACCACGGGTCCGGGTAGTCCTGTGGGTACCCGAGTCCTACTCAGGACCCACCCGACCTGGGTACCCGAAATACTCGTCCCAGTCCTATGGCATATGTATCTTGGTGAATGAGGAATTATTGGGCTCAGCGTGAGCCTGTCGGTGAGATGTTCATGAGAATTGAGAATGTACTGATCGATCTAAGGAATGTTTGTTTAACATTGTTTGTGGAGGATTCAAAATTAACGTAAGTCCAATCGTCCGAGACTATTTTAATTCGAGAAGCACAGTGACATGTCCTTGTGGACTACCACTTTTACTATTTACTAGATGGCAACTTTGTAGCAGATCATATGTGGCATAAGTAACAAGTAAAAAGATAAATAATTTCTGACGCTGTTGCGTCGTAGACAAATACAGTAGGCACTACATTCAATCTAGTGATTAACTGCCACTGGTGCTGCCAGCTAGGCGTACCTCTTCGGGGTCTGGCGGCTTCTGTCCCAGGTCCATGTTGAAGCAGTGGAGTGGCGGCATCTCCAGCTGAAGGACAAGGAAGCAGACGTCACCAACAAATAATATTTTAATTTGAAGTTTACACGATATACGGCTTTTCCACTGGATGAGAGGTTGGTCACTTGACCGCAAAATTGACGTTCATAAGTGTATGAACAACACAATTTGACATAGTTTTCACAAGACCCTGTTCGTGTAATGGACGTAAACACTGATGGACTACTTCCACATTCATGGGGGAACCCTGGGAGTTTGCCAACACGAATAAATACGGAAGTTTTGTTTCTCATCATTAGGCCCTTTAATCTTGAACTTTAGTGTTTTCGCATACATTGGGATAAGTCAGAGACGTTCATACGTTTTGGCCCTTATTCTATGAAGGTTCATACTCCAATTAACTCACACAATGTGAAAGTCATTTCGTAATTGTCACCTGGGTACACAGAGTTCATGTAAATACATGTCACTGAATAATGACATTTCTTTTTGATAATTAAAATTTTGAGTAAAAATCCAACATTTATTAAAGAAAACAATATGTATAAACAAACTTCAAAGCAATGCAGTCAAAATGAATGATTCAATAATTTGCAGTATTGAGAATATATTAAATTAAACAAGTATTTGTCACAAAGTGACGAAATGTCCCCCGCCTGTATATACACCATAGTACCAAATATGAAGACAATCCAGCGATTAGTTCTTGAGATATTGCGGCAACACCGTTTTCCAACTCCAAAAGCAGATTTGCCTGCTGTGACCTTGAAAATGGGGTCAAGGTCACCAAAACCGACTGGTGTCTGCGGAGTCTGTATATACACCATAGTTCCAAATATGAAGACAATCCAGTGTTTAGTTCTTGAGATATCGCGGCAACAAACAGGTGGGACGGACGGACAGATGTGAATGCTATGTCCCCCGCTCCGCGCTTTCACGCAGCGGGGGACAATTAAAATAGTAAACATGTTATTGAGCATTATTGAGTTGTGGAAGCCTGCCTGTTGCTGTCACGTTCAAAGGAATTTATTTAGTCTCAAATGCTCAAAATTATCCAAAAATTGAAAATATGTTTAACAATATCCGCTTCAAAATAAATACAAAACTGTTATGGACAGTTGACAGTCTGAAGATTTCATAGTGTAATGACAGCCAAGATTTGATAGTGTAATGACAGGCAAAAATACAGGATTTATTGTTATGATGTCCTAGAGGTAAGGTATTCACAAGAATTACAGATGTTTTAGTGGTAGTTTTTATTTAACGCAATATTTCGTCCATCACATCATCTCTCCTTTCATCACCCTCTCATTCATGTTCCAACATTCCTTGTCAGCCCTCTTCATCCTACACCTCCTCATGCCTACATCAGTCAGCTTTCAGGAACCACTTTTACACTTAACCCAGCAATATCATGGTAGAAGGCACCAAGAAGGCTTTGTACCCGTAGGGAATGGAAACGTCTTCCACGTGAGGGACCGCGTTGACCATGAGACTACCAAACTTTTTCCTACCTTAGGGAACCTCTTCTCCAGGTCTACGGCTGCTTGTCTGGATGGGCTGAGGTTTAATCCCCTGTGTGATGGAGACTCTACGGCCTGGCCAGGGAGAAATACAAGTTGAAATATGTCACACTCTTACTCATTGAAGAATCTAGCTATCTGATTGGTCGGTCACTGTCTTGTTAAAAACAATACAAATGACTGTGAGCATGTACAGACACATGACATCACAAGGTCCAGTTAGACCGCCGAAGTGGTCAGGTAAGAGAGTCCTTTTCAAATATTGACCTCTTCAAGAGTAATCATTCGTTTTGTTATTCCGAAATTCACATTAAAGTTTATGAAGCATTTAAACCATCCTCTGTTTCATTACATTAACTTAGCTGCGAATCGCAAAATGTTAGTATACCAGGCACCATCCTGTTTTCCAGCAGACGAGTCAATATTTATCATGTGACAGGTCAATACTGATCATGTGATGAGTCAATATTCAAGGTCAGTGTCAGTCACATGATTTGGGGTTCCTAATCGAAATGTATTTTTTCGTCACATGGTACGGATTAACCAATGGAATTGCAAGATTCTTCATAGAGGTAAAACAAACTATAGTGATATTGACTTGTCTCTTCACCTAGCTCCAAATAAAAGTATAAATCTGACTTGGTTCATTTTGATTTCATCCTTGAACGTAAAACATGCATGTTTATTTAACAATCCTTTCCAAATACATGTATAGAAAATTCCTAAGTTGTTGTTGATCATAAAAATGTCCCCAAATGAATAATATTTACACAATAAAATAACTGTTTACTTCTATTCCACTCCCAAAGAGTTAAGGATGATTCTTTCATAATACTCCACTTAAGATTATCTACCGTATTCGATGTAATAAGCGCCCCGCTCTAATAAGCGCCCACAGCGATATTTGCTAATATATTGGCTAGTGAACAATCCCATTTAGCACCCCTCACGATTGATCAATGCATACAAGACTTATTTATTCGCATATAATATGTATTTGTGTGTTATATGCACCCTATGGGCAATTAAATTCTGTAAAAATATATCTGACTTATATAAACATTTCAGGCTGTCGGCATAAACGAATAAATTTTATCTTTCAACTCTGTTATTTTTCACCAAAATAATATTCTAATAAGAGCCCCCTATTTCTAATTTTGAGAGCACCCTGGGCGCTTATTACGTCGAATACAGTATAGTAATAGGAAAGAATCGAGTGGTCCTTAACTTTTATTGTAGTATTTGATTGTCCAAAACTGCTCTGCTGACCTGGTGGATGTGGCTATATCTCTGTGTGACGGCCCAGGTGTCGTGAGTGGTGGGTCGCGAAGATTCCTTCGACTCGGCAATCTGACTGAGAGAGTGAGTGTGTTCCCTCACTGGGGACTGCATGGCGGACGTCACAATGCTCTGGTGGATGCTGGAGGTGGCGGCCAGGCCGTCTACATTCAGAACAGAAGCACACACTCAAAGGAGGACTAGGTGCACGCAAATTGGGAGTCCCTGGACATGTCAGATGAGTCTCATAGTGCTCAGTGTATCAATGTACCAGTTACTAATTTAACAGAGACAATGTGTCAGTTCATACAAGGCATTAGCTACAATGTCTAGACATGCTTGCCGTAAAAGGTGACTATGTTTGTCGTTAGAGGCAACTAACGGGGATCGCTGACTTGGTTGATGCAATATCACTAGCTGGAATAGTGCTGAGTGCGGCGTTAAACAACAAACAACAACAACAATGTCTAGATATTGAAAATGATCATGAGGAAATTGTTTCTCAACAAAAGAAATAGGCTTCACACAATGTACCTATTTGGGGAATCAAACCCAGGCCTTCTGCATGGCAAGCAAACACTTTAACCACTTGGTACCCCATCACCATTAGTCATTACTTCAAAACCAAGTCTATAAACAGTATGTTCTGTCTAGTAAAGTCAGCTAGTAACTCTTAAGATAATAACCCCAGAAACTACTAAAACATGCCAAGTATTTAGGCGAAAAGACTCCAAGTTTGACCTGACCTGGGAAGTGTGAGAAGAAGACCTGGGGCTTCCTCATCTCCATCCAGAACCTGTCCAGGTCGTCCTGACCCCGCAGCTTCCCCTCCTTCAGCAGCTTCTCCTGCAGGCCCAGGATCTGGGGGAGAACACAGTGAGTGAGTGAGTGAGTGAGTGGGTGGGTGGGTTGGTGGGTTTGTGGTTTGAGTGAGTGAGTGGCTGAGTGAGTGAGTGGGCGAGTTAGTGAGTGGCTGAGTGAGTGAGTGGATGGGTGGGTGGGTGGGTGGGTGAGTGAGTGAGGTGAAACCAGGTTTAACGTCGCGTCCAAGATTATTGCACTTACATAGTGATATGTAGTGGACTGATGTAGACACACTGAGGTACTATGCCACAGTGTAACATGAATACCCCACTCAGACACAGTCCCTTAATGCCGAGCGCCTCACAGGGTAACAAGTACCATCTCTTAGCGGAGACTGTTGAGTGAGTGAGTGAGTGAGTGAGTGAGCGAGGTTTAATGCTTCAAACTTGCAGCTGTTTGCGGTGATTAATGTAACTTGAATTGGTATGAAAACTTTATAGTAAGGTCATCTTCAACTGGGAGGACAACCAAGAGTGATGCAGGTCTGAAGAATATATACTACTCAAAAGAAGTTAAGGAACAAACGATTCTTTCATATTACTATATATAGTTAATCTGTCATAATCTGAGATATTAACTATGGTTATATGAAAGAATCGGGTCATCCTTAACTTCTTTTGAGTAGTATATATCATGCTGACAGCCCAAGGATCATAATCCGTATGAATTAGGGATTCAAACCTCTGGATTGGAGCATGATGAAAGTGAGCCTATCTGTACCGCAAATTGCTGCAAGTGAGCCATCCGCCAATGTCCATACAACCTGGGATGTTACAGTGTTGTTGGCGGCATACAGCACTCTTGTAAATATTTGTAAGCGCCTTCAAAGGTGATATGGAGTTTCAACACTGGTCCGACATCAGCGCATTGCGAGTGCTGGACGTTGGATGGATAACGGCTTGGCGTAACAATGGACATAGAGCACCAAGTGGTGTAAAGGCTTAATAGTCATACACGTCACGCTTGAAATTAATACAGTGAAATCTTGTTGGCTTGAACTTAACATCCAAGATGATATTGACACTGTTTTGTTTGTTTGTTTGTTGTTTGACGACGCACTCAGCAATATTCCAGCTATATGAAGGTGGTCTGTAAATAATCGAGTCTGGACCAGACAATTCAGAGATTGACATCATGAGCATCTATCCACGCAATTGGGACACGATGACATGCACCACTCAAGTCAGTGACCCTGACCACCCAATCCTGTTAGTTGCCTCTTACGACAAGCATAGTTGCCTTTTCAAAGTGAGTGAGTGAGTTTTGTTTAACGCCGCTTTTAACAGTTTTCCAGTTATATCGCGGCGTGTCAGCTTGATGTGGGAGGAAAGCCCGAAGTGATGCAGGTCTCAGACGTTTACCACTTCGGTGAAACCCACGAGCACGGGTATGGTGCTGACAAACCTAGAAAAATAATCGGGGCGAAACCGAGATTCGAACCCACAATCATAGGTTTCCGGCGTGCCCAAGGGACGCAACTCTGCACAGCGAATCGCGGCGCCTTAGATGACTGGGCCACCCATGCCCCCGCCTTTTCAAAGTGGTCATGGGGGACTTTGTGATTATATAGCATGTTGTGTTCAGAGCAGGTGCGGTGTCATCAGAGTGACACAAAGTCATCCCAATTTACATTTTGGGTAAAGGGCCTGCTGTTTGGCAAAAATGACGAACAATGTGAAGTTATCACAACAGCAAGCGTGAACCTACCAGATAGACGTCTGACTTGGGAACATTCTTCATGTAACTGTCGTCATGTTGGAGTTTGTGATGGTCGTGGCGTTTCCTCACTCGATGAGTTGCTTCTCGCTGCAATAACAAAATATTCTCTTCATATTTATTCTCTTCCTATCCTATGGAGCAATCCCTTAAGGGGTGTAAGCTCTCCCCGCTCCCCCCAAAATTTCACAGCTACAGTTCCTACAGACTATGCTCCCCCTCCCCCCAAAATGTCACAGCTACAGTTCCTACAGACTATGCTTCCCCCTCCCCCCCCCCCCAAATGTAACAGCTACAGGTCCTACAGACTAGCACTCCCCCCCCCCCCCCCCCCCCCAAATGTAACAGCTACAGGTCCTACAGACTAGCACTCCCCCTCCCCCCAAATGTCACAGCTACAGTTCCTACAGACTAGCGCTCCCCCCTCCCCCCCAAATGTCACAGCTACAGTTCCTACAGACTATGCTCCCCTCTCCCCCCCAAATGTCACAGCTACAATTCCTACAGACTATGCTCCCCCCTCCCCCCCAAAATGTCACAGCTACAGCTCCAACAGACTATGGTCCCCCATGATGCTGCTACAGCTCCTACAGACTATGGTCCCCCATGTCACAACTACAGCTCCTACAGACTATGGTCCCCCATGTCACAGCTACAGCTCCTACAGACTATGGTCCCCCATGTCACAGCTACAGCTCCTACAGACTATGGTCTCCCATGTCACAGCTACAGCTCCTACAGACTATGGCCCCCCATGTCACAGCTACAGCTCCTACAGACTATGGTCCCCCATGTCACAACTACAGCTCCTACAGACTATGGTCCCCCATGTCACAGCTACAGCTCCTACAGACTATGGTCCCCCATGTCACAGCTACAGCTCCTACAGACTATGGTCCCCCATGTCACAGCTACAGCTCCTACAGACTATGGTCCCCCATGTTGCTACTACAGCTCCTACAGACTATGGTCCCCCATGTCACAACTACAGCTCCTACAGACTATGGTCCCCCATGACGCTACTACAGCTCCTACAGACTATGGTCCCCCATGTCACAGCTACAGCTCCTACAGACTACAGTCCCCCATGTCACAGCTACAGCTCCTACAGACTATGGTCCCCCATGTCACAGCTACAGCTCCTACAGACTATAGTCCCCCATGTCACAGCTACAGCTCCTACAGACTATGGTCCCCCATGTCACAGCTACAGCTCCTACAGACTATGGCCCCCCATGTCACAGCTACAGCTCCTACAGACTATGGTCCCCCATGTCACAGCTACAGCTCCTACAGACTATGGCCCCCCATGTCACAGCTACAGCTCCTACAGACTATGGCCCCCCATGTCACAGCTACAGCTCCTACAGACTACAGTCCCCCATGTCACAGCTACAGCTCCTACAGACTATAGTCCCCCATGTCACAGCTACAGCTCCTACAGACTATGGTCCCCCATGTCACAGCTACAGCTCCTACAGACTATGGCCCCCCATGTCACAGCTACAGCTCCTACAGACTATGGTCCCCCATGTCACAGCTACAGCTCCTACAGACTATGGCCCCCCATGTCACAGCTACAGCTCCTACAGACTATGGTCCCCCATGTTGCTGCTACAGCTCCTACAGACTATGGTCCCCCATGTCACAGCTACAGCTCCTACAGACTATGGTCCCCCATGTCACAGCTACAGCTCCTACAGACTATAGTCCCCCATGTCACAGCTACAGCTCCTACAGACTATGGTCCCCCATGTTGCTACTACAGCTCCTACAGACTATGGTCCCCCATGTCGCTACTACAGTTCCTACAGACTATGGTCCCCCATGTCACAGCTACAGCTCCTACAGACTATGGTCCCCCATGTCACAGCTACAGCTCCTACAGACTATGGTCCCCCATGTCACAGCTACAGCTCCTACAGACTATAGTCCCCCATGTCACAGCTACAGCTCCTACAGACTATGGTCCCCCATGTCACAGCTACAGCTCCTACAGACTATGGTCCCCCATGTCACAGCTACAGCTCCTACAGACTATAGTCCCCCATGTCACAGCTACAGCTCCTACAGACTATGGTCCCCCATGTCACAGCTACAGCTCCTACAGACTATGGTCCCCCATGTCACAGCTACAGCTCCTACAGACTATGGTCCCCCATGTCACAGCTACAGCTCCTACAGACTATGGTCCCCCATGTCACAGCTACAGCTCCTACAGACTATGGTCCCCCATGTCACAGCTACAGCTCCTACAGACTATGGTCCCCCATGTCGCTACTACAGCTCCTACAGACTATGGTCTCCCATGTCACAGCTACAGCTCCTACAGACTATGGTCCCCCATGTCGCTTCTACAGCTCCTACAGACTATGGTCTCCCATGTCACAGCTACAGCTCCTACAGACTATTGTCCCCCATGTCACAGCTACAGCTCCTACAGACTATGGTCTCCCATGTCACAGCTACAGCTCCTACAGACTATGGTCCCCCATGTCACAGCTACAGCTCCTACAGACTATGGTCTCCCATGTCACAGCTACAGCTCCTACAGACTATGGTCCCCCATGTCACAGCTACAGCTCCTACAGACGATGGTCCCCCATGTCACAGCTACAGCTCCTACAGACTATGGTCCCCCATGACGCTACTACAGCTCCTACAGACTATGGTCCCCCATGTCACAGCTACAGCTCCTACAGACTATAGTCCCCCATGTCACAGCTACAGCTCCTACAGACTATAGTCCCCCATGTCACAGCTACAGCTCCTACAGACTATGGTCCCCCATGTCACAGCTACAGCTCCTACAGACTATAGTCCCCCATGTCACAGCTACAGCTCCTACAGACTATGGTCCCCCATGTCACAGCTACAGCTCCTACAGACTATAGTCCCCCATGTCACAGCTACAGCTCCTACAGACTATGGTCTCCCATGTCACAGCTACAGCTCCTACAGACTATGGTCTCCCATGTCACAGCTACAGCTCCTACAGACTATGGTCCCCCATGTCACAGCTACAGCTCCTACAGACTATAGTCCCCCATGTCACAGCTACAGCTCCTACAGACTATAGTCCCCCATGTCACAGCTACAGCTCCTACAGACTATAGTCTCCCATGTCACAGCTACAGCTCCTACAGACTATGGTCCCCCATGACGCTGCTACAGCTCCTACAGACTATAGTCCCCCATGTCACAGCTACAGCTCCTACAGACTATAGTCCCCCATGTCACAGCTACAGCTCCTACAGACTATAGTCTCCCATGTCACAGCTACAGCTCCTACAGACTATGGTCCCCCATGTCACAGCTACAGCTCCTACAGACTATAGTCCCCCATGTCACAGCTACAGCTCCTACAGACTATGGTCCCCATGACACTGCTACAGCTCCTGCAGACTATGGCCCCCCATGTCACAGCTACAGCTCCTACAGACTATGGCCCCCCATGTCACAACTACAGCTCCTGCAGACTATGGCCCCCCATGTCACAGCTACAGCTCCTACAGACTATGGCCCCCCATGTCACAGCTACAGCTCCTACAGACTATGGTCCCCCATGTCACAGCTACAGTTCCTACAGACTATGGTCCCCATGACACTGCTACAGCTCCTGCAGACTATGGTCCCCCCTGACAGACATCGGCCCCCACCTCCTTGTCCTCCTGCAACTGTTGTTTCCTCTGCTGAGCCTCGTTCTTCAGCCGGATGTCTTTCCGCTGCTGGGTGACCTTGGTGTCCAGCTTGTCCCGGTATTCATGGTAGTAGTAGTTTCTCAGCTTCTTCAGGTCCTCCAACACCTGCATGTACTTCTGCAACACACACACACATCTCTCTAACAAACGATTTAGGCCAACAAGGTTTCTTGGTTCACTGTGTTCTCAGAAATTGCAGCCTTATCTCTCAAAATGAAGACTTAATATTGACTAAATTAATAATGTGCTATATCCACATACTAGTGTTGTTAAAAGTGTACCGCTATTCCCCCAGTAAGGGATCAATGTGCTCTTGAATATCATGCTCAATTCTCTCTGGAAAAGACAACATAAACTCCATATGAGGCGCTAGATGGCTTACAGTCATTGAGTTGATTTTAGCGGCACAAAATCCATTTCTTGTTTTAGGGATGTACCTGCCATAGATTTGTCAAAAGTTAAAAAGTAAAAATGCCCTCATTTTATGTCTTTTTGTTTGCTAAAATATATCAGGAAGTCAACCTCAAATAAACAGTGAGAAAGTTTGTATTTCTTTTATTCTACTTTCTGCAATATTGTCCAAGAAACTTTGTTAAGGAGTAAAACTGGTCCTGCCTTTATAGCAAATATGGAACAGTGATTTGTCGAAGATTCCTAACTACGGTATGTGCCACTGGCTGGCCTTTTGGGGGGAAAAATTGTATTTTGTTCAAAACTGATATTTTTTTAAAGTTCTTATTTTCTTAAATTCAGAGGTATTTTCATGTATTTTGAGACTGCATTCAATGCAATAATATTCAACTATGCATTAAAATCTCTTCCTCATTATTTGTCCTGTTAGCAGTGAAATACATGTTACCTCTACAAAGCAAAAGAATTAGTTATTACACGAATTGGGAATTTTTTATTTCAATTTGGGAATTTTTAATGACATTTGCTGCAGAACTAGGGATGAATATCAGCCCCCGAAAATCGGTTTCAGTGTTAACTTCGATATTCATTGCCTCAGAACTGACCACAGCATTTTCCACTCTTTTTTCCTTTTTCTAAAGGACAACAAAAGATGGTGTAAAACAACTGCAAAACATTTGCCATGTTGCTATGACAACATGCCCGTTGACAAACAGCATCACTCACACTAAAAATCACAAAGACTGGTTGTGGTGTATTGATGGACAGATATACTACAATCAATCCAACATTGAACTTTTCAAGTGTACCTCATCCTTCAGTTTCTCCTTCTCTCTATCCTTCTCCTCATCACTGTAAAATGTGGTTGATCTCTTCCTTTTCTTTTCTTTTTGTTCTCTCTCAGCTCGAGCCTACAAATAATATATAGTGGTCAATTAAGCAAGTCTAGACCAGGCAGACCATGTGTTGGATCATCACTACATCACAGGTACCGTATTCGACTTAATAAGCGCCCCGCTCTAATAAGCGCCACGGCGATATTTGCTAATATATTGGCTAGTGAACAATCCCAATTAGCACCCGTTCCGATTGATCAATGTACATAAGACCAATTTATTCGTGTATAATATGCACTCGTGTGTAATATGCACCCTTAATTATGGGCAGTTAAATTCTGGAAAAATATATCTGTCGTATATAAACATTTCAGGCAGTCAACATAAACCACGGAATTTATCTTTTAACTCTGTTTTTTTCACCAAAATAATATTCTAATAAGAGCCCCCTATGTTTAATTTTGAGAGTGCCCTGGGCGCTTATTACGTCTAATACGGTTTGTATAAACTAAACTTGGAGTGCTCTGTGGTAGGCTCATGAATATCAGATCTTTTCTTCAGTACAATACTTCTCTGTGTGAAGATCTGACATTCTGGCTTGATTTTTTCACCACCATTATACAATGTTTTTGTTCTTGCCAAAAGAAAGCTGCCACAGAACATAAATATACCCTCTATAATACATCCATTTGGTGTAGATGTACCCAGACATACGATCAATATGAGATTAAAAAAAGACAAGAGAAACAGCTTCCCAAATTATGAAAGTGGATGACTGGTTGTTAAATCTATATTAGAAATAATAATGACTTTTTCAATATAATTACAAAGTTTTTCATCTTATATTATTGAATATCTGCGAGTACCGGCACATATCTTGCAGTCCGACTACGCAGTGTTTCACTTCCTGGTTCGGCTTATCTTTGGGTCATATCATTTTCTTTCGTATTTCAATGGTCAAGTTAATACCTCGGCTTATATACGGGGTCGGCTTATCTGCGGTCATATACAGTAATAGCATGTATAAAATATTCACAACAATATAGTAGCACAGCTATATTTATTTGTATTTGGAACTCTCCATTTCATTTGTTTTTGCGATACAGAAATCAGATATGCTTGTCTAAAAGCTTTGTTCACTCGAACTGAGATTGTAAAAGCCCAGCCACTTATTGGTTGATTGGAGAGTTCATCTGACACGACTTCCCATGAAAGTCAATGTATGCAACATGTGCTGACTCTGAGCTGACTAGTCATTCTTCTGTCCCCATGATGCTGAATGCCAGGCAGGAGGTACTGGGGACCTATCCTTCTCTGGAATCTCCACACAGAGACAAGCATGAGGTACTGGGGACCTATCCTTCTCTGGAATCTCCACACAGAGACAAGGATGAGGTACTGGGGACCTATCCTTCTCTGGAATCTCCACACAGAGACAAGGATGAGGTACTGGGGACCTATCCTTCTCTGGAATCTCCACACAGAGACAAGCATGAGGTACTGGGGACCTATCCTTCTCTGGAATCTCCACACAGAGACAAGCATGAGGTACTGGGGACCTATCCTGCCCTGGAATCTCCACACAGAGACAAGCATGAGGTACTGGAGACCTATCCTTCCTTGAAATCTCCACACAGAGACAAGGATGAGGTACTGGAGACCTATTCTGCCCTGGAATCTCCACACAGAGACAAGCATGAGGTACTGGGGACCTATCCTTCTCTGGAATCTCCACACAGAGACAAGCATGAGGTACTGGGGACCTATCCTGCCCTGGAATCTCCACAGAGAGACAAGGATGAGGTACTGGGGACCTATCCTGCCCTGGAATCTCCAGACAGAGACAAGCATGAGGTACTGGGGACCTATCCTGCCCTGGAATCTCCACAGAGACAAGCATGGGGTACTGGAGACCTATCCTGCCCTGGAATCTCCACACAGAGACAAGGATGAGGTACTGGGGACCTATCCTGCCCTGGAATCTCCACAGAGAGACAAGCATGAGGTACTGGAGACCTATCCTTCCTTGAAATCTCCACACAGAGACAAGGATGAGGTACTGGAGACCTATTCTGCCCTGGAATCTCCACACAGAGACAAGGATGAGGTACTGGGGACCTATCCTGCCCTGGAATCTCCACAGAGACAAGGATGAGGTACTGGGGACCTATCCTGCCCTGGAATCCCCACACAGAGACAAGCATGAGGTACTGCAGACCTATCCTGCCCTGGAATCTCCACATAGAGACAAGCATGAGGTACTGGGGACCTATCCTGCCCTGGAATCTCCACAGAGACAAGGATGAGGTACTGGGGACCTATCCTGCCCTGGAATCTCCACATAGAGACAAGCATGAGGTACTGGGGACCTATCCTTCTCTGGAATCTCCACAGAGAGAAAAGCATGAGGTACTGGGGACCTATCCTGCCCTGGAATCTCCACACAGAGACAAGCATGAGGTACTGGGGACCTATCCTGCCCTGGAATCTCCACAGAGACAAGCATGGGGTACTGGAGACCTATCCTGCCCTGGAATCTCCACACAGAGACAAGGATGAGGTACTGGGGACCTATCCTGCCCTGGAATCTCCACAGAGAGACAAGCATGAGGTACTGGAGACCTATCCTTCCTTGAAATCTCCACACAGAGACAAGGATGAGGTACTGGGGACCTATCCTGCCCTGGAATCTCCACAGAGAGACAAGCATGAGGTACTGGGGACCTATCCTGCCCTGGAATCTCCACACAGAGACAAGGATGAGGTACTGGGGACCTATCCTGCCCTGGAATCTCCACATAGAGACAAGCATGAGGTACTGGGGACCTATCCTGCCTTGGAATCTCCACAGAGAGACAAGCATGAGGTACTGGGGACCTATCCTGCCCTGGAATCTCCACAGAGAGACAAGCATGAGGTACTGGGGACCTATCCTTCTCTGGAATCTCCACAGAGAGAAAAGCATGAGGTACTGGGGACCTATCCTGCCCTGGAATCTCCACAGAGAGACAAGCATGAGGTACTGGGGACCTATCCTGCCCTGGAATCTCAACAGAGACAAGCATGGGGTACGGGAGACCTATCCTGCCCTGGAATCTCCACACAGAGACAAGGATGAGGTACTGGAGACCTATCCTTCCTTGGAATCTCCACACAGAGACAAGGATGAGGTACTGGAGACCTATTCTGCCCTGGAATCTCCACACAGAGACAAGGATGAGGTACTGGGGACCTATCCTGCCCTGGAATCTCCACAGAGACAAGGATGAGGTACTGGGGACCTATCCTGCCCTGGAATATCCACACAGAGACAAGGATGAGGTACTGGAGACCTATCCTGCCCTGGAATCTCCACACAAGGATGAGGTACTGGGGACCTATCCTGCCCTGGAATCTCCACAGAGACAAGCATGAGGTACTGGAGACCTATCCTTCCTTCGAATCTCCACACAGAGACAAGCATGAGGTACTGGGGACCTATCCTGCCCTGGAATCCCCACAGAGAGATAAGCATGAGGTACTGGGGACCTATCCTGCCCTGCAATCTCCACAGAGAGACAAGCATGAGGTACTGGAGACCTATCCTTCCTTGGAATCTCCACACAGAGACAAGCATGAGGTACTGGGGACCTATCCTTCCTTGGAATCTCCACACAGAGACAAGCATGAGGTACTGGGGACCTATCCTGCCCTGGAATCTCCACAGAGAGACAAGCATGAGGTACTGGGGACCTATCCTGCCCTGGAATCTCCACACAGAGACAAGGATGAGGTAGTGGGGACCTATCCTTCCTTGGGCAAAGCGATCTAGGCACTGAGATGACCTCAACTCCCATACTTTAAAATAGCTTATGATAGTCGTAGCACTAGGATCACATTGTGAGTGAGTGAGTGAGTTGGGTTTAACGCCGCTTTTAACAGTATTCCAGTTATATCACGGCGTGTCAGCTTAATGTGGGAGGAAAGCCCGAAGTGATGCAAGTCTAAGACGTTTACCACTTCGGTGAAACCCATGAGCACGGGTATGGTGCTGACAAACCTAGAAACATAATCGGGGCGAACCGGGATTCGAACCCACAATCATAGGTTTCCGGCGTGACCAAGGGACGCAACTCTGCATAGCGAATCGCGGCGCCTTAGACGACTGGGCCACCCGTGCCCCCAGGATCACATTGTGGAACGGAATGCTGGAGTACCCACAAGAGATCCTGGCTTGGCCATGGGATGTGACCCGTGACAGTGACATGCCACTATTCCACAGTTGGCCTGGTTACAACATGGTAATTTGGAATGCTTAAAAAGTTCCCAATATCCTACCCCGTCTTGTTTTGCAACCCTGGAAATGTTTTTGTTTTTGTACATGTCATAACATTTTAACTAACTCTCTGCACAAAGAAATAACAATGTAACCATAGCAACCAACTTGTCTATTTTTAGAAAACTTATTATGATACTCAACTATCACAAGTTATGTGGTTATTACCTTAGCTCGCGCCTGTTTTCTTTCATCCAACCCGTATTCTGTGAGGGGTGTGGGGAGGCTTGGCTTGGGGGGAGACGGCCTTCTCTTTACTTTTGACAAATTTACCTGAACTGCTGGTCTATTGGACTTCCCTCGAGGGGGCACCTTGAAGCAAATGAGGAAATACATGATTAAGATGGTAGCTTCTGAGTTTAGATGAAATCATAAAGAATAGCCAACTAAATTACAAGAAATTACCTGTAAGTGAGAAATAATTATATAAGTCCTCACCCATGGAGATTCACGATTTCCTACTCTGAAAGAAAATCAGTAATGTTTTGTAGGATATTCCATATATTACACACAGTTTTAGAAAAAGGACATTGCCAAATATATTTTGTTCTTAGAGCAACAAAAGACTTCAGCAGTAGTTATTATGACTCATGTTGATATGATGTCACACTGACTGACAAGGTCCACAGAAGAGGGAATCTGATTCTTGGCGGTCAAACAATAGCCTCAATTAGGATGATACTGCTTGGCAGGGATTTATCTGGACCTGATCTGAGACCGATATTCAGCACCAAGTCTGCAGCAAATGTCACGAAAAATTCCCAAAACGAAAATAAAAAATCTAAAAACCCAAATTCAATAAAAATCACTCAATGAACAAATTCCCAAAACGAAAATAAAAAATCTAAAAATCCAAATTCAATAAAAATCACTCAATGGACAAATTCCCAAAACGAAAATAAAAAATCTAAAAATCCAAATTCAATAAAAATCACTCAATGGACAAATTCCCAAAATGAAAATAAAAAATCTAAAAATCCAAATTCAATAAAAATCACTCAATGAACAAATTCCCAAAACGAAAATAAAAAATCTAAAAATCCAAATTCAATAAAAATCACTCAATGGACAAATTCCCAAAACGAAAATAAAAAATCTAAAAATCCAAATTCAATAAAAATCACTCAATGGACATTATGGTATATATATATACTATATTAATTAACAGGACCATGGACGTTACCCATAGTAGAAAGTTGTGACAATTATTGCATAACATTTTATTTTTACATTATCATCCAGTGTATACTGGAAACAAGAACATAGCCAAACACAGGTTCAGTTCAAATCATAGGGGCTGAGTTTGACACATTACTTTTCAAGTTTGTTAAAATTTCTTTTGTTCTAATGTTCTTTGCCTCTAAATAGCATCCCAACGGATTGGGGCACTATTGTGTTTGCTGGCTCACATAGAGGGAAAGCTTCCAAAGGTGGGATCTACCAAAAACGTTAACACCAAAAATGGCCCACATTTTTACCAAAAAAACGACAACTTTTAATAAATGAATACACACTGCCATTTAGGAAGTGGTCAAATGTAACAAATGTTATATTTGGGATAACACATTCTTAGTAAAAGTACAGATTCTCGTACTTTTGGGGGTTGAGTCCCGTCCGGGATTCGAACTCACACTTGCCAGAGTGAGGCACCTAATCGCCAGCACACAAAGTCAGCGATCTAACCCATTCAGCCAAAGGACTAGAATCTGTACTTTACTAAGAAAGTGTTTTCCCAAATATAACATTTGTTAACTTTTAATAAAGATTAGAAACGAAAATACATTTTCATTTACACTTTTTATTGTTCATATATTTTACATCTTGTATGGTATATGTATTGGGCAGAAGTAGAAAATAACAGAAATGAAGATTCTGGGTGTTTCCATGTCACCGTGCATGGATTTACACTTATTTCATAATTATCCTAAAAATAAGCAATGATTTCATAAAAACAATGTACACAGTGATTCTGACACAAAAAGCTGTGACTTGGTCCCAAAAAATGTAATAAGTCAATGGCAAGAGTCAATAAGGCAAAGAAACAAAACACAAAATTCTGTTTTGACAGCCTTTAACATGTATTATCAGTTCATGGCCAGCGTACCTTCATTTCAAATTGAACAAGGTTCTGTTCATTTTGTCCAAACAGTCTAATGCCCCAGAATCAACTTCGTTGGCATCAAAAGCTGACCTTGACACAAATGTATTCAGTGCCCCCTGAGTTCTACCAACCCTGGGTGAGTTCGCTTTTGAATCAGTACTGAAAAATGTAGCCGGTGAAAGTGGCTTGTGTGAATGTTCCAGGACAGTTTCCAGTAGCCAAAATATTCGACACAAAACCATTTCATCCTTTTTACTCGACGTTTTTGTGGGAAGAATATAAGGAGCCGCTATATAATCTATAATAGCCACTAAACCCTAATGATCGTAAAGGGGTGATTGATCGTAAAGGGGATCCAAGGGTTAAGGATAGACTTAGGGTAATCTAATAGCCACTAAACAGGTTCCTAACCCTAATGATCGTAAAGGGGTGATTTATCGTAAAGGGGATCCAAGGGCTAAGGATAGAGTTCGGGGTAACCAACCCTAACACTGGCGACATTTGGATGAGTTCAGCACCAATTAAATATCCCTAACAAACTACATTCTTGTGCATAATAATGAAAAATAATGCACCGAAAAAATAATATATGTATATTAGTTCCCATTTATAACCCTTTTAGCGACTTGAATTACGAGAAAAACGAAATAAAAAATATATAAAAAATAAAAGTGCTTTCGTAAACTAGCGCTTGCTATAAAATGCGCCGCCGCAGGCTATGTTCAGTAAACAAATATTCAAAACTCTCCACAGCGCTTGGCGTATTCAATGACATTTCGTGTAGAGATGATAGATCACTGGGAGGAGCTAATGCACACTCGATGACCCCTGACGTCACAGGGCATTGTTTCGCCGGTGTGACTGGCAACAAAATACTACAAATTATGTCATAGGGTATGATCACGTGTTTGAAAAGTTTGTGGTACTGTATTCTAAAGGTAGGCCCAAATATGTATCTGTTTACTGTCTCTGCCACAAGCAGACGGGTAATGAGATTGAGATGTCTTATCCATAAAATCACAATAAACACATGATTAGCAAAATAGCATTTGTCATAAATATGATACCACTTTGTATCCTTTGTCAACATTTTTAATCTGACAGATTGAAACTTGGTTTTCAAAAGAGTGTTGCTGTATTTGTTATTTAAAGAAGTATAGAAATAGTTGTTTACTGTTTTTGGTAGAAAATGTGTTGCTGTTGTCAAGTGTATTCCCAATGGCTACCAAACCTGTATGTGATTGATGGAAGTTGCAGTTGACAGAGTGCTAGGGAGCTATTGGTCTAATAAGGACTCCCAGTGGGGTATTCTTTCTTTATACAGGATGATAAATCATTATCAGTAAAATACTGAATTCTATGTAGTTCGATCATTCCATAAAACATAATTATGTTCATGAACTGATGGACTGCGATTACATCAATTTACCATTTACCTCTTTTCAACAGAAACCTATTGTGAGATCCATCAAATATTTACATACATAATGGGAAAAAATATTGTTATTTACTTTTGTTGAATAATTGATCAACTTTGTATTGTACATCTCTCTATTTCCAGATCCATTATCAGAAAACACATTGTCTATTGATTTCCTTTAGACAGAGGATCATATTAAAATTTTACAGTCCTTGTGTTCAAAAGAAAAGAAAAACCATAAATAACGTGATTGTTTCTGGTTTGTTTGTTTACATTTTTACGCGTTAAGTTTTGCGAGTAAAGGGCAAAAGAATCAATTCGGTCTCTGTGGTCGCCTTGTGTCCTGTAGAATACCCATGACAAAAAGTAGCTACGAATACCTTTTTAGGCGACTGTGGTGTCTGGGCAGTATTTTCTGTATTCTTGTAATTTTCTGCATCTGGTGATGGATTTTCATCGTCTGTTTTGGCTAACTCGTCCTCTGAGTCCGCCATTTTAGTTGATACAGTTTCCCGGACTACAGCCTCGTTCTGAAAACAAGGGACATAACTAGTATGTCACTGAAATCCTAAGGATATAAAGATACAGGGACATTATTTATTGTTCGAGTCTCATTCTTAATGACTCCAGAATATAATGTTCTTGTTATTTTATATTTGATAGTAGATGGACATATATCATCAAAAGAAATCCATATAAAAACAGAGATTATCTTATTCAACATGTCGACAAGATAGTAATTATTTTATCGCCTAATATTAATGGACGTTTTGTCCCTGTAAATGCTATCTTCCATTTTCAAATTTTCTAAAATTATCTTACAAAATTTCTAAGTGACGTGCGGTGATTTGAAAATTTAATACATTGTCTATACTTGTTTTCGTATCGACCTTTGAATCATGTTGCGTCTCCTATTTGAAACGTTCGTAAAATACCTAATTTCTGCCATCTTTTTAACCAAGCAACCAAACAACCCCAAATTCAATGAAACGAACATATAGTTGAAAGTTTTAATATATTTCATCAACACATATCGATGCGAACATTTGAAACATTGCTACCATGGAAAGGTAAATGTTTTCGTTGGGTTATCCTCAACGACATAGTAATACACGCTTTGCTTCCTTCACATTTCATGTCTCTTGTTTCATGTTTCATGTTTCATAGCTTCCTCAGAGCGTTTCTTAGTTCACTGTCAGAACCATGGAATCACGCATGATTATGACATTCATACTCTTTGATAGTTTGAGTGAGTGAGTTTGGTTTTACGCCTCGTTTAGCAATATTCCAGCAATATCACGGCGGGGGACACCAGAAATGGGCTTCACATATTGTACCCATGTCGGAATCGAACACGGGTCTTCGGCGTGACGAGCGGACGCTTTAACCACTAGGCTACCCGACCGCCCCTCTTTGATAGTGACTTATATTGATAATGTCGTACAACTATGACGTTCTCAAGCAAAGGCTTCTGTCCTACTTTCATCCTCAGTTTTGTTCCACAGCGAAAGTTAACATTCAGCGTCAGTAATGCAATAAATGATGTTTAATGTTTTATTCTTGTATCTAATTTATAATTTCCTCTCTGCGAGGATGTTGATCATAAATAAGTTAAGAGATATTTAAATATACATGCACCATTCATTCTATATCATTTTGAGGGGCGGTGTGGTAGCCTAGTGGTTCAAGCGTTCGCTAGTCATGCCGAAGACCTGGGTTCGATTCCCCACATGGGTACAATGTGTGAAGCCCATTTCTGGTGTCCCCCGCCGTGATATTGCTGGAATATTGCTAAAAGCGGCGTAAACCCATACACAGTTTGAATTGATTGATTTAATTAGCATTTTGTAACATCGTGAAAAATATATCCTGCCCAAACATGCTGAGATGCATAACACGGCGAAGTTCATGGTTATAAACACATAATGATTTGTCATCGGCCTGGAAGAAGTCTGCTCACTGGTTGGATTTATAACTGCGTTATTATACTTTTATGATATTCTATGCTTTCAAACTGACTGAATGGACAAAGATCTAGGTGATGTGTTTGGCCACGCCCATCAAATTCTTTCCAAAATTTCAGTAGTGTCAAACCCAGTAAAACACTACCTCTTCATATGTGTTCATTCAAGCGTGACCACGACACTGAGACATTATGCTGTGTATACGCGAGATCTGGAGAAAAGCCACGCACTGACACCTCTGGCGCTTACAACCTTTCATGTGTCAGTTTATGAGTGTTTAATATCTCACATAATATATTCGATCAGCTTGACAAATTTCACCTAAGAAGCATGACAACTGCATCTACCCAACATTTGTCATTCATCAAGCGTTTTGCTTGTCACGTTCGTCAACGTTTTTTTTACGTCACATGATTGGGACGTTTTAAAAGAGCCACGCGCCGTTGAATTGCTATCTGTCAGGACGATAATGACTCTCACCTATCCGAATGGTTTTATGCGCGAGAAATGCTTTTTGGAATGCTTGGCTATCATCACTGGTGTTGTCAGTGTTCGACTTAGCGAGAGCATACAGCGCATCTGGGTCAGCGAACAGCGGTTCCCGGCCACAATGTTATTACTTAGATTCAAAAGAATTACTCATGCATATATATTGAGATTTTCATCTTTCTTACGGTAAGAAACATAATCCGTAAGAGTTATCTTTCTTTGGCTTATTTGCGTACACACCGCCAGAGGGCATAATATGATTGTGTCGTCTGCTCTTTCCCGCGCGTGGATCTGGTAGCCCAAGGCGTAATAAGTTATTAAGACAAGTTATGGCATTACTTAAATCAAGTTTTAGTTTAAAAGTGATTTTTTAATTTACCCCTTTATATAGATATAAACGCTGCTGTATCATGATTTCGATCAAAGTTGCAGATGGCATATTACCTGATGAAGCCGTCAAGCAGCACGTGCCTGACAATCCAGTTATTGATTTTGAAACTGAGGAATAACGACAGAGGGGTTGTCGGAAAACAAATCATTACCAACGATACATTTCAATTACATTTTTATCCCAAACAAACATATGCTTCATGTTGCATCAAATATCAAGTCAGCGAGTAAGCCGTGTTTGTTAAGAAGGGTGAAGTTTCAAAAGTTTTGGTGAGTCGAGCTGGTGGGTGGATTATATACTTCTCATGGAGGGTATGGCTGTAATTTGTCGTTTAGCATGTAGAGCGTGGAAGATTGCAGTTGTCGTTTTGTGAACTGTTTATGCTCAGCTGATGCCTGTATAGAAGTTGCGCCTCCTCTAGAATAGAGGCTGTGGACACTTGTTTGTCCTTCCTTGACTCTAAGTCCCCCTTTTATACCAATCGCCCGCCGTAGGACGAGCAAATAGGCTGCAAAGAAAGAACCGGAATGGTCCGCCTAAATGTGAACAAGTTTGAATGAATGCGGCCATTATTACGATGGAAGAATGAGCCCCCGGTTGATCAGCGATTGAAAGGCGGTAGTCGAGAAAAGTGGACAGAGGCAGTGATTGACACATAACAAGGTGAGTGATGGGCCTGGCTGTGTTCGCCGAGCGGGAAGAGGGCGGAGCTACCAAGAATAACACTAACGCTTATTGGCTCACAGCCGTGTGAAACCCAGCACTGATGAATCCGACAGTGTAGCCTGTTTTCAATGCATCCACGAATGATTCTCTCACAGATTTCATGTAGCCTCGGTCGATGCGGTGCGTGTTTTGTGTCCCGTCTTCATTGAGAGGGAGTCCTAAGTTGAGGACCCGATGCATGGATGTACCTTAAGCGCCGTGAGTACCCAGATACCATCATGGAACTCGCCATGACAGTGTTAGAAGAGGAGGTCGGGAGCCCCGCGGCCTGTTAGAGAGAGAGACAGTGTACGAGGCCCCCTCTCTTTACAACCGCTTGACTAGCAGTTTATTATTGCGTTTACGGAGTACACGATCAGCAGAAATGAGCACTTACTTGGCAGTCTACGTGCTGTTAGTAGTCTTCCTAGGCCCAGTACTACTGACCAAAGTGCCTGGAGTTGCTACCTCGGAAGCTGTGAGAACGTGTGAGCCGATCAAGTTTGACATGTGCAAGGGCCAGGGGTACAACGTCACTGGCATGCCCAACTTAGTCGACCACAAGGACCAGAAAGATGCCAGCCTTCAACTACAAACATTCACCCCTCTCATCCAATACGGGTGCTCGAAGAAACTCAAGTTCTTCCTGTGTTCAGTGTACATGCCTATGTGTACAGAGAAAGTTCTAACTCCGATCGGTCCCTGTCGGCCTCTGTGTGAGAGTGTTCGGAAACGCTGCCAGCCGGTTTTGAATGAGTTCGGCTATCCCTGGCCCTCGGCCCTCAACTGTTCCAAGTTTCCAGTTCGCAATGACCAGAACCACATGTGTATGGACGGGCCGGCCGGGGAAGAGGATGACTACCCTGGTGAACCAACGAGAATGAGACCCGAGACAAGTTCGAATTACCCCCTTCAGCACACACTAACACACGGGTCAGGAAACTGCCAGCACTACAGGCATCCCAAAAAGTATATTTATATAAACAGGACAGAACGGTGTGCTTTAAAGTGTTCAGAACATGATGCCTTCACAACAGAGGATAAGTTTTTTGCTGACGTCTGGATGGCCATATGGGCAGGACTATGTTTTGTGGCCACCCTGTTTACAGTGCTAACCTTTCTTATAGACTCTCAGAGATTCCGGTACCCTGAGAGGCCAATCATCTTCCTGTCCATGTGTTATAATATCTACAGTATTGCCTACATTGTAAGACTTATTGCAGGACGTCAGTCCATATCCTGTGATAGTACTGATACAGAGAGTCAGAGTGATCAAGGAATTCTCATACAAGAAGGGCTGGAGAATACGGATTGTGCTATAGTGTTTTTGTTATTATATTTCTTTGGCACAGCCAGTTCGTTGTGGTGGGTTGTGTTAACTTTTACATGGTTCCTGTCCGCAGGGCTGAAGTGGGGTCACGAGGCAATCCAGCTCCACTCCAGTTATTTCCATCTGGCAGCCTGGGCCATCCCTGCCATCAAAACCATCGTCATCCTGGTCATGAGGGACGTCGACGCCGATGAGATCACAGGTATCTGTTACGTAGGGAACCAGAACACCAACACACTGATGGGGTTTGCCATTGCACCCCTGATCGTCTACCTCTTAGTAGGAACGTCCTTCCTTGTGGCTGGGTTTGTGGCATTATTCAATATCCGGAAACAGGTGCGTGGCGATGGAGTGAAGACTGACAAGCTGGAGGTTCTAATGGTCAGGATTGGCATTTTTTCAGTACTCTACACGGCCCCGGCCACGTGTGTGATCGGGTGTTTACTTTATGAGTACACCAATAGGACATCGTGGTACTTTGCTGACAGCACGAATACCCCCAATATTGAGGTGTTCATGTTGAAACTATTCATGTCCCTTGTTGTTGGGATTACCAGCGGCATGTGGATGTGGTCAGCCAAGACAGTCAGTTCGTGGAGAAATTTTGGCAAAAAATTGTTTTCAAGGAGAAAGGACCGCAAAAACTGGGAGTACGCTGTCCCCATTCACCACTATCACCAAATTCCCCTGAAACCTTCGAATAACAGGACAATACGAATGCAAGAAAAAGCCAAGAGAAGTATGAATAAGTCTGACAATGAAACTGTGGTGTAGTTGGAACTAGCCGCGTCACTATCGTCGTCGTCGTCATCGTCGCTGCTGTTGTTGTTATTGTTGTCACAGTCGTGCACGTCATGACGGTGACGGACCAAGCTCCCAGCGCCGATAGTCCCATGTGCGTGTGGTGAATGTGCTTTTCATAGTTGGCGAATACTCGGCGTTAGAAAAACCTTCTACAGCAGGCCAAAAGGACCAACTTACATTTGTATAGCTGTGGATTACGGGTAATTCTTTATTATTGTTGTTGCTGTTGTCCCCAGGGGGATGTGTATGACAGGGAAAGGCGTGCAAGGTTCAAGATATCTAAGTCCTAACTAGCAAGTATTTTGTAGTGATTGTTATGTGTCGGGTCGGGTGTTGCTGTGTGGCTCCGTCCCGACCCTGTCTGTATGTTGTACCTGTACACGAGAAACTGAAATCCGAAGTACATATGCCCGAACGTTCACTGTTGTTGATACTCAAGCGATACCAAAAAGAATCCTTTACTTTCATTGTTTTTTCCGTCATGAAAATAGATTTGACTGTTATAAGGCTATGAAATTATATGTACTTTTGTTGTGTACTACGGAGAGTCCCATATTAAATGGCCTACATCAGCAAAACATGTGTACATAATTTTAAACTGAATGAAAAATTGAAAACTATGTCAGATATTTGTCTTTTGTCACCAAGTGCAGCTATACATCCTAAGGAATCTCGTTTATTGTAGAGGGAGATAAGAGAGGTTGGGATGGCGGAATTAGGAAGAAACTGCTTACAATCTGCGAAGTGAGCAATTTCTTTGGAATTCTCTTTCCTCAAATTTCAAGTAAGCGTTTTCGGGTTAGGGATTTGGGCTTTTAGAAAACGCTATTAGCAAGCCTAGCGTTAGCAAAACACATGGACATTTGTGTTGAATTACATGCATTGGCCTCGGTGTTGAGCGTTAATCCTGGCCTCATAGGGCCACGCCTGTTCTGAAGGAGAGGACCTAGGCGCAGATGTCCGCCATCCGACACCTGATATCATTACAAGCCAGTCCACCTGAAATTCTACAAGGGCTCCCTTTCCCGAGGCGTGCATACTCAAGAGAGGTAGACAAATACCCGGTTATTCACTGATGCAAGCACTTAGCGTATTTCCTTCGTCCTAGCTTCTGTCAATTACATTATGGCTGTATAGAGAGAGATCTGGACATTCCGTCCGGCCCAGCTAAACAATTTACCTATCTGTCTGCCACTCAGATGTGTGATAAAAGATTAATTTCCAGATGAGGTTGTATAAACATATGATCTGGCGCGTGTATGTGTGGCGAAGCAGCCCGATCTGTGAATGCCGGACCTCCATTTACACGTATAATGGAACGAAAAGAAGACGTTGAGAAAGGTTTGGGCCTGGTTTGTGTAGCGATAGCCCCGCGCATGTTGGAAGGAGGGAGGGAGCGAGCGCAATCACTTGTACTCATGACGCTAAGAGTAGTCGGAGATAAATCTTCCCTGGAAAGGTTAAAGGGGAAGATTTATCAGCCATGCTTGACAGCAAGGCGAGCAGCTAGCCCGATTTTCTTATGGCGGGAGCTTCGACCAAAATATCGTCTGCTCTTGAAAGGCTATCGTTTTTCAATCCCCTTCTTTAGGTCCTGGGTCGCTTTGTGGGTTTCCACACTAAGGCAGGCTGGAGGGTATGCTTGATTGCTACTGTGAACAAACCGTCAGTTATTCCACATGGTACTGTTACAATAGGGTTGGGACAGGCCGTGAGGATTCGGGACCTACTCGACCATGGCATCGATTCATATCTCTAAATATTGACAAATTACTTCAACATAAAGAGCGATCTAACGCTCCTGAGTGTGACTCTCCACTTGGCGTGTGTGATAATGAGCGATATCATAACCCGACGAATCTGAATGGTGTAATTAACTCCACTTCTATACAGTCAGTCAGACGAGGAATCTACAGCATCGTGCAGAACTCTCTAAACATGCTTGTCGTCTGCTACACCGGCTATGGTTTGAGACCTGTGCTTGAAGGGAGATTGTACTAAGTGTAAGCAGTACGCAGCGCCAGCAGGCAGGCCAGCCCGGGGTCGCCATAAACATCTATTACCCATTATTTCTTTCCTCTCCCCCCTCCCCCCTTCAGCACGCGGTGGCTACACGTTTTGTATTAATGATCTGCATGCGACACCTTTTAAACCATCAAACTTTCGTCAGGATGGTCTTGTGATTTGGGCTGAGATTTACATAATCTGGTTGGTGTTCTCTAAAACATCGTGTTGTAACCTTGGAATACAACCTGCATGCAAACGTGTAGAATGGAGAGGGTTTATTTCTCACTGCATTATTAATTCTTTTTTATGGAACCAAGGCGGAGAAACCGCGCCATAACGGAGTTGTAAAGAGGACCGGATACAGGTATGTCTGCGCGCCAGATACGCACGGCCTCATGACGTTTGGAGCAGCGACACTGTCCGTGACTCTCGTGCAATGCACGTGCATTCTGACGCTGGTTTGGGTTGCGCTCCACGCGGTCTCAATGTCCCAGAAGGTCGCACATACACAGCACAGCTAGCGGCCTTGAAGACATACCGGACATCGCTTCCAAAATACCTCCCTACAGTCAGTTATGTGGACGAAGAAATGAGCACAACCACATTTCAAATTGTTCTAATCGAACGGCTTGGGTCATGCCTTTTTCCAGCTTGTTAAAACCTCGTCATCTACGAAAGTAGTTTATGGCAGCAAAGCATATGGTAGACATTTTTAATAAAGAAAAAATACCAGTCTGGCAAACTCTTCTGTTCAAATGGCATTTGCCCTACATAGTGGAAGCGCTGTTCCAGAGAGACAAAAAACTCTGAACCTTCCCGAGGAACTTCTAAATACATAGCTAGTTGTAGGCGAGTCTCCTCTCGCTCCGTCAGGGCGGTGCGGTGATTAGTCGGGAGGGATGAGCGAAGTAGGGTAGTGCACTCCGAGGCAGGCCCGGGGGGATCGGGCCGGGGGAGAGTCGGGGGACCCATCTGCCGATGAAGGCTGAGTCCTCCTGCCCCGTTATCTACTCGTGACGGCGACAGGCACGTCAGTAATCCCCCCGTAGAAGGCCAGAGTTTTAATCATCTGTTCAAACTCATCATGAGACGGATCTGACCCACAACACAGGGTGAAAAAGCCTCGACATCAGGGACAGAGTCTCTTCTTGTCCGTCGATGTAATTTTTATCTTGTACAATGTAATCACACTGCAACTTGTCTTGTAGTCAGTTCCACCATGGCCACGCGTACTCGAAGTTGAAACTCTTCCTACAAATTCATTTGCAGTATTACTAATAGCGAATACCATCGTTCACAATGTCCGACAAGTTGCAATATTTGTTGTTATCCAATTAGTAGACACAGTTAAATGCTTGATCCGGTACCCAGGACTAACTGCATGTACACCCACCTTATATATTCTGATACAACATCTATTTTACACCGGTGTCAAGGTATTTGGAATTAGTTGAAATTTAAGTGAACTCTCCTCTGCTTTATTTTCCGTTTTTTATTACACAGAAATATAATCTGCCAACAACGTCCCGTTGCTGAGTACACCTTTGGTTTCAGAATATCCATACTCCAATACACTTGACAGTTGTTGTCTGTGATTGTTTCCCGGAGCTGTAACCTCTTCAATATTACATAAATCACGGACTGTGCTCAAGTCATGCGGGTTGTATTTATGTAACTGTTTCATAGTGCAAAGTGTATATTAGTGCATGATAAGACATCATGAGTGCAGCAAAACTTGCAGTGCCTGTGTAGTACAGGTTGTGCATCGGTGTATAACCTTGACTATTGTACATCCGTGTATAACTGTAAGTTATGATATACAGTACACAATGTACACCAGTGGATTGTAATTAACGTTAGATACAGAACGTTAAACGTTAGCCATAACTTTTCTGCAAGATATACCCCCGTCTATATTAGTAAGTCATCATAGAGATATGTACATCTGTATATATCAATAAGTCATTATAGAAGGATGTACACCTGTCTATATTAGTTAGTCATTATAGAGTAAAAGTTGTACATTGGTGTATAACAATGCATCATTTGATACCCAGCACGTTGTACGCCAGTGTATAATAATTTAGTTTTCCTTGAGAACAAGCCGTACATCAGGGTATAATAATGTTAATAATTTATTGCAATGTAATATAACAATACAATGTTACATAAAACGTCAACGCCAAACACGTCGATGAATAATGATAATTTAGCTTTAACATAGAAGTTATGCATCAGTTTATAATAATGTGTCATTGAATACAAATTATTTCCCAGCGTAATACAACACATATTTAGAAATTTTAGACTGCACTGAAAGACAAGTTCTACACCAGTGTTCAAAACTTAGTCTTCTCTGAGGTACAAATTGTACAAAAATGTACATTTAAATTTATACCATGGTCCATTGTCTATAACAATGGTCATCATGCTCTTGCTGTAAGGAGTGTATTACACAGCTTGTTACTTTTATGACACAAGCTGTAAACTGTGTGTAGATTTTTACGTTTTTATGATAACTATATGCTTTGACGACTGTACGTGTTGTATGACAATTTCACAACATAGCTACACCGCCCTATACCGGCGTGTGCAACAAAAGGTAGTATCATGTATATCCATTAAACATACGTTCATCTTACCATTTGTCCGAAAAGACAGAATTGGAATATGGCACTAATCTTCTTACGCGATAAACAAACAGTATTATGGTACCCACTATGTTTACGTTTTAGCCTAGATTCCAAAACATATCCTTTCGTCGCATGAATTTAACGTTCATTGCAATACATTTGCCTGTCGTATACATGGTGAACGGAACAAGTGCCGTTATTTATAACAGAACATTTAACATGTTTAAAGACAGTACAACCAAATATACGAAACCTTATGATTCCATACAAATAACACATTTTGACAAGTTAAGTAATAAGGTTAAAGATAAATTGTTTGCAATAAAAGAAAATGTCAGAAGATATTATATCTGTGTATGGCCAGCGATCAATACTGTTCTACTGTAAGTCTGATCACTGCTTTATGTCTCAGCTGTTACCGTTACAACACGCGTACTGCATCCTGGGAAATGGAGGTACAGATTGTGTTTCGTCATTTCGCGTTCAGTAATTGTGTAATTTTGTTGAGAATATAGCATTAAGGGATTTGGTCATTGTGTTGTACACTTAATCTAACCGATAACTAAGTATTGAGCGTTCTTCGAAGTTTGAAATAATTTACTTAGCCACGACAGGGTCTTATAATCAATGTCTGTACATATAGAGTAGGGAAAGGGCCACCTAAGTTGAATAACTTTTGCCCAATCCCGTTGACCATATGTCAATAAAATATGTTTAAAACAAACAAACAGGGTCTTCATAAGAATCAAGAATGTTATTGTACAGAACACCCTCGTCAGGCAGGGTACAAACTATCTACATATGGGAATATATATAATAATAGACATGAAAGATAGAGACATGTCCGAATGTAAGTGTTCCGACATTCCCACGCTAATTCCCAACTGCTAATGTCCCGGTTTATCTGCTGTTGGTCAGTTAACCATCTGGTTCGGTTCAATCAACTCCACCCATGGCTTGTCATCTCACGCTGTGTGAAC